GGTATCGGCCCGGGCTTGATCTAGTCCTCAAGGATATTTCCATGACCATAGTCAGTCATTCCGCCAGGTTTCTCGCATATGTACGCTGACTCGAGATGTTCTAGAAACCGAAAGAGAACATCGGAATATGTGGCCGGACTGGGGCAGGGAAATCATCGGTAAGATTTTTCCCCTTTTTGTTGGACTGTGATGATACTTTTGCAGCTTCTTCTTACCCTCTTCCGGATCATCGAGCCTGCATCTGGAGCTATCCTCATTGACGAAGTAGACATTACCAAACTTGGCTTGCATGATTGTGCGTATTCTTTGAGTTGTCCGTTTGGACACCCCTTAATCAAACCAACAATAGTGCGGTCCGCGATATCCATTGTTCCTCAAAACCCAGATTTGTTCGAGGGCACATTACGAGAGAACATTGACCCTGTTGGCGAGCATCAGGATGTTGATATATGGACTGCTTTGGAACATGTCCGTCTTTGAAATATGTTTGTACTTCTGATGCTTACCAACGACGTTTCTATAGGCCCATCTGAAGGCATATGTTGATTCACTCCCTGGGGGACTAGATGCCCCAGTTCAGGAGGCCGGATCATCGCTTTCAGCAGGTCAGAGACAGCTCTTGTGTTTCGCGAGGGCGCTCTTGCGCAAGGTACGAGCGTCTCTTTGGTTGATTGTAAGTTTTCATTGCTGACACTCCCTAGACTAAAGTGCTCGTCCTCGATGAAGGTCTGTATGAGCGGTACCTTGTTCTTCTCCGAGGCTAATATGCATGATTCTCTAGCAACATCTGCAGTTGATCTAGATACCGACCGAGCGATTCAAGAAATCATCCGGGGTCCAATCTTCCGTGATGTGACCATTCTAACTATTGCGTATGTGACATGTCCAACATCATCGATGATTAGTACCAATAATGATCCTATAGGCACCGCTTGAACACGATCATGGAGTCTGATAGGATTCTGGTTCTAGATGCTGGGAGGGTAAGCACACTCTTTAGCAACAACGTTCATACATAATTTATTTTTAATTGGCCAATTTAGATTGCAGAATTTGATACTCCAAAGAAGCTGCTGGAGAACAAGAGTTCTATCTTCCGTTCTATGGCGATGGAGGCCGGTCTAGTTCAGGTCCAGCTTGATGATGCAGAAGTGAACGCACAGGAGTAAATATACCTAATCATGCACAACATTTCTTGGTCTTATTCAGAAACATGACGTTATAGCTATGTAGATTGCCATATTTTTGCTCTGAATCTTATGTTTCGCTGTCAGCTATTCAATATTCAATCGTGAGACTCGATAATGCAATTGGGGTGCCCCGATACTCGCCTTGCGATGTACTGCAGAAGCATCAGGGCGTCTTTACTACTACCCAATGAATGCCTCGGAAGAAATGGAAGAGGTTGAAAGTTATTTCAAACGAATTTCCGTTCTCAATTGAAATTACTACCAGTAGTAGGACTCCTACCAAAGATATTAGGCTTGACCTGGTACCTGTGACGATCTACGGAGCGTTGATCTGTTTGCGCCGCTGCCAATAGTGAAATCGACATGCGCTGTGAGGGAGATTAGACGTTCGAGGCACATAGTAAAGTCACAATCTTTAATTAGTAATTTCCTTCAATGATAGTGCAGCGCATGCATGCATACGTACTGCAGAGCCAACAACATCTTCCGAAACAGGAGTGTAGATCTTCACCATCATCGCTTCACCTCGTACTTTTCCCAGCCAACTTCTTCCAGCTTCTCAACCTTTGCGACAACCTCGCTCTCTAATCCTCTTAGATACACATCAATGTCTGCAAACAAGTGAGGTATACCAGCCCCGAGAATCCGCACAGCTAGCAATCCAGCATTCATACCGCCGTTAATTGCAACCGTCGCTACAGGTATACCTCGCTGTGGTGACACTCAGACATCAACGAATCACATAAAGACTCAAAAACCCTCACCGGCATTTGCACAATACTATGCAACGAATCAACACCATCCAGAGAGCTTCCTTTCACAGGAACTCCAATGACAGGAAGCGCGGTCATGGCAGCAACCATGCCAGGAAGATGTGCTGCACCACCTGCTCCAGCAATGATCGTCCTCAAACCCCTTGAACTCGCTGACCTTGCGTATTCGACGAGGCGATCTGGTGTGCGATGTGCAGAGACAATGGTGAGTTCATAAGGAATCTTGAACCGATCCAGAATACGAGCAGCCGGCAACATCACAGGAAGGTCGGAGTCGGAGCCCATGATCACACCAACAAGCGGATGTTTGTGGGAAAAGCCGCTGCCTTGTGCGGGGGTTTCTGGGACGTATAGAGCGAGTTCTTCTTCAGTACTCCCTGACGGTAATGCCTTTAACAGTGGTCGCAGGCGAGAGCGGACCTCTGAATCTGAGTTGCCCACGACGGTGACGTGTCCCATTTTACGTCCTTTGCGACACTCCGATTTACCATACAGATGGACCGCACAACCGTCTGTCTTGATACACTCAGATGCAAAATTCGTGACTTCTGCCATGTTGGATGAAGCGCCAATGATATTCAGCATTGCAGCTGAAGACACTTTTAGTGACGTGGAACCAAGCGGGAGTGACAGTATGGCGCGCAGATGATTTTCGTACTGGGAGGTTTCGCAAGCCTCTATGGTATAATGTCCAGAATTATGTGGCCGAGGGGCAATTTCGTTGATATAGATAGAGCCTGGCAGAATCGGTAGGTTAGACTGGTTCGCACAATCCAAGAGAAACTATCTACCGTCTTCCATGAGAAACAATTCGACTCCAAAAACACCAGCGCCCTGGAAGGTCTTGACTGCGGCTTCGGCTACGCTCTGTGCGCGAATAGCAATATGTGGATCGCGACTCCGCAAGGGGGCAAACACCAAATGACAAATGTTGTCTTTGTGCACGGTCTCCACAGCGGGATATGAGCGAACCTCCCCTGTCGTGGAGCGCACTACCATGACAGCGATCTCCTTCACGAATGGCACCCACTTCTCGGCATACAAGGGACGATTCCCGAGGGCAGAGATAGCTTCTTCCGCTTGAGCAATATTCCGAACAACAAAATTTCCCCGCCCATCATATGCCAACGTGCGACTTTTGAGCATGAATGGCAAGCCAAAATTTTCCGCAGTTTGATGTATTGATGTGACATTGGATTCGATACAGAGAAATTCTGACACGGGACATTGGTGACTCTGGAGGTGCTGTTTCTGTATCAATTTGTCTTGAATAGTCTTCACCGTAGACGGACTGGGATGAATGACAGCTCCGGACACTGACTGAATCTCTTCAAGTATGTTCGTATCGACGTGCTCAATCTCAACAGTTAGGATGTCGACCTTGCTGGCCAGTGCCTTGATTTTTTCTGGGTCTACGAAAGATCCATCGATGTGAGCAAGAAGGGGAGATCGCGGGGACACAATCTGTTTTGCTGGACTATTTTCTCCAACATCGAGGAATACAATATTGACGTTGAGCAGAGCCGCCGAAGCGGCTAGCATTCGCCCGAGCTGACCTCCGCCTAGAACAAGCAAGTCAGAGGAAACGATAAAAAACTAGAGACATAGCCTGGTAGATATCATGAGCGCTTAAATCGAGAGAATTCGACGCTGTGAGCTCACGCGCACCAAGAACCCCGACAACCTTGCCACTCATCGTGTTTAAAGTCGATTTCGCGTAGATCGTGCGCGTGAAGAAGTGAAAGATCTGCAAAGATATGATCAATATTATGTAATCGCAACTTTGTAAGTAAGTACGCTGAAATTTATTGATCCTTCTCAAGTTCGACAGATGGGCCCGCCAGCACCAAAACCTGCTGCTCGCAGGAGGAACAGGAAACGTAAAAGACGCGCCGTATCTTCCGGTTCTTCCTCTTCGTCTGATGATTCATCTTCGGATGAATCCACGCAATCCACACCGCAAAAGCCGGCACCTCTCCCAACCAAACAACCTGAATCCGACACGAGTTCGTCGTCTGAATCTACATCCTCAGATAGCGACTCCGAATCAGATGACGATGACGCTCGTACATCCATGGTAAAAGAACAAATGCAGACCGACGGTCTGAAAGTTCCTAAACAAAAAGACGTCCCTCGACAAAGGTCACCTTCACCCTCCCTGCCCAATGCTGAAATACCATCTTTTCTACCGCAAAATCCGTCTGCGGATTACGAGGCGCGTGAAAAAGCCATGAAAGATAAATTCAGGAAGTTCTGGATGTCATCCCTTGCAGAAGGATTCAAGGAAGACCTTGAGGAAATACGGAAGGTTAGCAGATGATTATTTCAGACATGAGTCGATCCTCATGAATGACTTTGCAGGAGCCAAATTTGGGACCCTCCAAGCTAGCACTGCTTATTGATTCGCTCGCAGCTGGCGCAGATATTTTTACGTCATCTGCGTCCGCCAGCGGGATAGACATGAATGAAGTAGATGTCGTCATGGGTGAATGATACAGAGTTCGTGGTTTATATAATCCTCTTTTCTGCATGTAACCATGAACTGCAGAGTCTCTTAGTGGTGTAAGACCACTGACGCGTGCTTGGATCATCGGGGCTCTATCGCGAGCAAACATATTGAATGATCTTGACACGTTCCGCATGTTAGAGCCTCCCAGTAAATTTGGGAGTCCGGGACACCGTCAATATTGCAAGGATCCCGTCTGCATCTCGAACAGAGACATCAAATGCAGTCCGTTATACATAGACGATGAGGAGCTTTTGCAGTTAGTAATATCTTAGGGAGGCACTCCGACTTTGTTACGATCTATAGGTTGATGCACGTACGATGTGCAATACTCCTTGATAAAGACGAGTCCGAAATATCAGTCTAGAAGTTTTTTTTTGGTTGCCATGTTCCCGTCATTCGACCTGCTAGAAGACTCAAGATGGAAGAGTCAATACATGCAGCTGCAATGAAATCATAAATATTAAATCGCAAATATATACACCAACAGCTAACAAATTGCATCAATAATTAACGAGCGCTAATGACGTATTGAAGGTATTCATCTAATGTCTATCCAAGTGTATCAGCACGAAACATTTTGTTCGATCAGCAACAAATCTCCTACCTTATCCATCTCATCAAGTTGTTGGAAAGCACCCGCGTATATCTCTTGAATATCTGGGTGTAGAGTCGTCATATCTATTGGTTTTCCAAACAGTGACTCGTCCACTGGGTGTACAGAGGTTTGAGGCACCCTGGGTACTGCACTAGCAATTTCAATGATCGCCATCATATGCGAGAGACCGAAGTCATCTTTGGGAATGTACAGTCGCTTGGGAATTTGCGGTTTGGGGGTGGTGTTGATACGCGGCGTTTCAGGGGGGCTGATGAGCTGTCCAGTGGGGGTGGCATACATCGATACTTCTGACATGACAGAAGCGATCGATGATTGACGAATAGGGCGAGGAGCATTTGTTCCTTGTTTCGATGACGGGGTAGTAGATCGGGTGCGGCTGTGTCGGCCATCTGCTGCAGTAGGCGTCGGTGTCCGAGATATGTCAGACACTGGTGATGCAACGCGTCGAGCTCCAGTGACACTACTCGCAAGCGGTGTGGGAGTCCTGCCGTCAGAACCAGAAGGGGGAGTTACGGCGTCATCGACGGAATATTCTGAGGGTGCAGAGCCAGAGCCACCAGAGCCACCGGAGGGAAGACCGTCAGACTGACTCGAAGCCGCAACGACATATTGAGCGTGAAGTCGACCATCTTTGATTTTGTTCAGTACGCGATCAATCTTCTCGTTCATGCCTTCCTTATTGCGCCCGAGGACGCCTTCTAGCAAGTCGTTCTTTTGTGCCGAGTTGCCTTCGCAAAACTCTTGCTCGACAATGTCACTGATATCAAACGACTCGCCGTCTTGCACGTATGAATAGCGCATCTTGTCTCCAGCGTCATACCTGGAGCTGCGGATCATGGCGTTTCCGGGTAGAAGAACATCTACGCCGCGCAGGGAGTTCATCTGGGCCGAAAGAATGGCCTTCTGATTCGCTCGCGATGCGGCGCGCTGTGCTGCAATGATCTCTTGTCTTGACAGCTGCCTCGGTTTAACTTCCTCGGTACCCGAAGTCTGATTATCAGAGCTGAGACTAGAGCCAGAAACTGAATCACGGAAATGTTGAAGGGCGATTTCATCAAGGGGCGCGGACATGCGATGACGAGACGATGACGTTCGATAGGAGATTGCTCGGCGGAGAATGAAGACAGGATCATCGATATGATATCATCTATGTTTCCAAGCAGTTGAGCAGAATCGATAGATCTGCGCTTGCCTTCCTGAGCTCGGCGGAAACTGGGAGGGCGAGTATATGCATCGGTAACTTTACTTGAAGGCGATAATTCTCGTTCTGAACCAACGAAGTCAGCGCTCAAATTCATTTATGCTAAGTGTATGTGTATTCTTACCTTGCCCTCCAATGTCAGCTGTGAGACCATATCGGACTTTGCTGGTACTCCGCCTCTTCGTCATCTTATCTTCAACTTCGTCACCACCGTCAACGACACTTCCAAGATGCCGAAACGCTCAAGTCCCAGTTCAATTACTTCAGCAACAGTGACATTCTTCGGGAAGGTGAAGGCTTTTCGGCGCTGACCCTGTGATATACCAGAAGAAATTGATGATGTAGAATGGGTTCTATCACGTAGCGTGTTCTTGAATACGATGGCTTCTGTGACTGGGTCGAAGACCATATCATCAGGCAGGTCCTCGGGATGGATAACAAGCTGCAACGTGAAGCGGTACGAGGGAGAGCTGAAACGATCAGGAGTCACGTTGACACTGCTCACCGAGGTATTTTGACCCTCGGCTACATCGTGAGACGTATCAGCCTGCACTGTCTCATCACCTTCTTCTGTCGTGGCGCTGTCATCTGCATCATCACGACGTCTGTTGAGGTAGAATTTGACAACGGAGTCGTCACTGAAGTCGTTCATGGATAACTTCTTTATGGCGGGATGCATGGAGAGGTTGCTTGAGATGGAGCTGATACTGCCCACACTGCTCCGCTTGACTTTTGGTAATTCCATGGCGGCCTCTACAAGCGACTCGAAGACTCCGAGAGGTTTTTCTTCCGGAAGCAGATCTGCAGATGAACCCTCGACCTGTTTGATGGTGAGGTAGTAGTCTGCTCCGTCCTCGCCAGCGGGGAGACGGAAGCGTTGAATAGCTTGACGAATGAGGTCGGCTGAAGTAGTAGATGCGTTGAGAAGAACAGTCTTGAAAGTCGCCTCGGTCTGCAAGTGTTGGCCTGCAAACACACGGATGACGCTAAGCTCAGGCACCAACACCTTGTCCGTCAGCAGTGGGCGAAAGAACTAGGGAGCCGGGTCGTGGTCTAGAGGAGGGCAAGCCCAGCCCAAGCCCAGCGGCAGAGGTGGCAGAGGTATTATACGAACTCGAGCTTGATAACACAGCGGAAGCAGATTGTAATCCGTATGAAGGCGCTTCCGGTGGCGATGACGGCGAACGATTGAGATATTGCTGATACAGTGCCTGTTGTTGCTGATCCCGCTGGCGCAGCTGTGACGCATGCTGCGACACCTGAGCCTGTACTTGTTGTGGCGGTGTCTGAGGCGTCTGCTGCGACTGAAGTCTCGTTGGCGTCCTCGAATCGTTTGGCGTGCGAAGAACTTGCTGTTGTTGTTGCATGGCTGATGCGGTGACAGGGGACATCGGAGGTTCAGATGCGGGTCCGTGAAGGTTGCTGGAGGACCGCCCTGATTCTTGAGACCCGCGGGTTTCATTGGAAGCCGTTTCGATAGAATTTTTATCCTTGCCTTTATCTTTCTTGCGGCCAAAGAGTCCGAATACGCCTCCTTTCTTTTTCTCCTTTTTCTCCTTTGCTTCATCATCTGTCGTGTCGCGTTGCTCTTTGCGAAGCTTACCAGACGCCTGCACAGGCTTCTGGACTGGGGTATTCGAGATGGGCTGTAGAGACTTGTTCTTGAGCTTCTTTTTCGAAGCTTCCTCGAGAACTTCAATTTCCTCGCGGGTGCGTTGCCGCTCGACCTCTTGCTTCTGCATGATTGCGCTCGGAAGAAGGGGCCGCTCGGTGCTGAAGCTTGTTTGACTGGCTCATCACGAGCAATTGAAGGCGTCACGGAGAGTTTTTTTGTTTCGGTTACTTCGGCGAGATCAATGCTCTTACTAGATGAGGGCGGTGAAGATGAACGGACATCAACAGTGATACGATCGCGTGAAGATTGATGGCGCAAAGCTTGTTGAGCAAGTGCCTGTTCCTCCTGCTGCCTCTGTTCGGTGATTATTATCTCTGGCTGCTGTTGTACCTGGATTTGCGCCTGTTGTCTCTCAGGTGTGCCGCTAGGTCGCAGAGTATCAGGCGCCACAAGCATCTGTTGCTCTATCTTCTTCTGCGCGTTTTGTGCTTGCATGTCCTCTGCAACGCTATCATCCCAGCTCATTCCATCATCCGGCTCCATCTGCATGCCCATAGAATCCTGCTGCTCATCGCGGCCCATCTGACCTTGGCGCTGTCGAATAAGCATGTCTTCTACAAGGTCTGGGTCTTCTTCCTCATATGCACCGTCATCCCACTCTATATCCTCCTCTTCTTCCTCTTCCTCATGCCAGACAGCAGGCGGATATCGGTGTACAGACCGTGCAGTTGTAAACGTGACACCTTTGCCTTGCCCAGCACCCGTGGGTGGAAAACCAGGGGTAGGAGAAGGGGAGTGATGCGAGCCAGCGCGAGAAGAAAGATTGTTCCGCACGCGTTCGACGTCTTCTTGGAGTTCTTGTGGTGTCGCGTGTGCAAGCTGAGAAGGAAAGTCATGAGTTTGAAATTGTTGGATGGTACAGGACTCACGTCCACATTCCTGTGCTTGTTCAACCTGGCCAAGCGTTCAAAGGGCGTCTCAATATTCTCTGCAGGAATATATCCAACGTCCTGTGTCTTGAGCACACGAACAAGCCACCAATAACTGTTACTGTCGTCCATAAGGAACAAGCTGTCGCCTTTCACAACGCTGGCTTGACCTTCGACGGTCGCAGCGAAGCTGTGCAGCGAGTAGACCAAGTCAAAGTCGATAGATTCATTTGGAATAGAAAGTGAAGACGAACGGTCGTCGTCTTCGTCCATATATTCTATCTCGCGCTCTTCACCATCAGAGTCATCTTCTAGAACAGAATGCTCTTCATCAGAAGCGCCTGCATAGGTATTGGTTGCATCTGCATGGGCATGCATATGTGCAGATGCTGTAGGGTCGTCGGCCATAATTTGGTCACGAAGGTCGAAAGTGTCCTGGCGCTTCGGTGAACGTCGCTGGTGGTCTTGTGTTTGCATATTGTACGTGATTGCCTAACGAAATATTGGCCTGAGAGGATGAAGATTCTATAAGAGTACAATCTAAGAAAGCTGTCAAAACATGAGAAACGAAAGGCGGTCGGTGTGCAGGTAAAAAGAAACAAGTTTTGCAGGCGACGAAGGAATGCCAATAATGATGGGTTCAGCGCGTGTTCAGCGTTGTCCTGGTGAACGTTGATGGCGTTGAACTACTTTAGTGGCTGTGCAAGTTTTCTATCTCAGAGTCAACTTCGTTGTTGTATGACTCTATCATCACTCGCAGCTAGTAGTAGTAGTAACTACTACTGGTGGGATCACTGCTGCGACAAACCGTGATGCACACAGGTACTAAGCCTACTGATACTCACCCTCGTGGCTGCGGAATTTACGAGACGAAGCTTATGCCGATTCCGGCTCACAGATGCGATGGGTCGTTAAATCACTGAAATACAAAAAGTGGCTGAAAGCACAGGATGTATCATGAGGCATGCGTTAGTTCCTATCAGATTGAAATGCTCATCATTTTCTTTCGACTCAGCTGTTCTGTGGAGTCCATCTAGCAACCAACAATGATGGTGAGTCTGTGTACAATCAAGTTATACCACGCACGTGCATGTAACAAATACTTGTTCATGCAGCTACAACGTCCTTATAATATACGAGGATCCTACCATACGTGAATGGCGTACAAAAACCTCGGAGCAGGTCGGTGATCCTTGGACGGGCCACACTAACCGAAGCAATGCTATTGCCATTCTTCCTGCTGGTACACTCGCCACATCCGCATCTAGTGACAACCATATTCATCTCTGGCGGCTATCAGATCGACAAACCGTTGCCATCTTTACGCACTCTATCCCATGCGATGCATCACTTTCTCCGTGGACGGCAATCACATCTTCAGCAGAGGTGAATATAATATCTCGGAGTGGACAGTACCTCAAGGTATACATCCAAAGGTATGTTTCTGTCTCTGACTCATACCACAAATCGAGTATGCTTCTTGCAGGCTATGGCCACCGCAACAGTCCGCGATGCATGCATAGATGGAGACTTGTCTACTGACGAAGAACTACACATGCAAGATACCAACAGCGATGCGAACAACCATACTCCCTACGTCCATCGCTCAAAGGCATGTTTCCGTCCTTGACTATATATACCACAATTCGAGCATGTTTTGTGCAGATCCTAGCCATCACACCCGCCCGTATTGCATGTGTAAACGGAGACTTATCCATCGCCGAAGACCTACTCACCCAAGATATCAACACCAATCCAAACGACCATACTTCCTACGCCCATCGTTCATTTGTTATGGCGCGAAAACATCACTGAGACCGCGCCCTTCTGGATGCTATCAAGGTGAGAATCATCGCCGCCTTATACAGGGCTAACTTGACGGTGACATAGTCCATCAGGATTCAACCCTCATCGACGGGCTATATCTCCAAGGGTATTGCCCTCCGTGGAAAAGGCCGCGTCCTGGATGCGAGGGCAGCATTTGATGTTGCATCTATGTACACAGACCAGGATTCAGAAATCCTTCATTTTCTGCTATTGATCAAGGTATGTTACATTTGCCTCGCATACTCTTCCCTTCATCGCATATTTCAGAACAGGGATCTACGAGCAGTTTGCGTATGCACCTTGAGTCGACGATCACATCATAGATCATACACACTCTGTAAATAACTCCTCACAAATACAAAATCTCCAAATTTGACATGCATACGGGGTTGAACGTTTGAACGTTGAGTACTGAGTGCCTGCGGACTTAGTTAAAACAAGCGACCTTCGGACGGACGTGAATTACAGTAATAAATGTTAACACTACGTTTGCCGTCGTCTTTTCCTCCTCATTCTCTATTGCAAATAGCGCTCGAATGTCTGGATCTCTCCAGTCTAAGGGAACTCAACCTCGATGAAGAGCAGTGATGCGGACTCGCGCGTTTGAAAGTGTCTCGGTGGTCGTTGGTATATCTCTCAAACCCCGCACATTCTCTCTTCGCTAGGACTATTATATATTTGTCTCCAATAGCATATGTGCGTATATCAAAATTCTATTTATTTTACAACGAGCTCGCAAAAGATTTAGTACTATCTTCGTTTAGGTACGTAAAACTAGTTCTATCAAAGATACTGAGAACTATCTTTGTTTAGCGTCCCTCCCGCTCTTCATATATCACGTCAGACTATGCCCCCGCGACTAGATGCAGAATCGTCGTGGGACGAACGAGAGGATAGACGTTGAAACCCGCTGAGGGCCATGCGAACGCAAAGTAGCGAACGCAAGTAGCGCAGCAAAGGACCAAACAGATCACACAAAACGCGCAGAGGGAACCGCATAATGCATAGACGCAAGACAAAACACATATCATAACACCCATTATATAGATGACAACCCAGTAGACACAAAACGCCAGTAGGATACCGTTAACGCGAGAGAGAACACAATGAAGGAAGATCAGTGATTGTTCATGAGAAAGAATGCAAAGGACTAACCTTTAAGTCGAAATCATGGTCAATGCGCACACGCTCTGCATGATAGATGCGGTCGAAACAGCGAGAAATCTCCGTCTCATCGAGGATGGAAATGTTCCAGGCTCCAGCCGGTTGCGAAATGGCCTGATGCCAAGCTCGGCGTTGCTCCTCTTGATACACGAGAAGGGCCCGCTGCTCGAATTGATTGTCCTGGAGCGTCACTCCGACGTCCAGTAGTGGTGCAGTATCAGGCCCCCGAAAAATTGTGCCAACATGCGAACGCGTGAAGCAACCCCCTCGCTGTTCAAGCGAGGCAATGAAACGAGGAACAGCCCTCGAGAAGTCGAGGGGAGGGGAGATGGTCTGCGATGACACCGGCTGCGGTGTCGTCGTCGAAGGTGTGAAAGGCTGAACGAGCATCTGAAAGACCTTTGTTAGTCCAGTAATAGCTCGACAAACTGGGCTTTGTCGAGCTTGCGCAAGGCATAGTCGGCGACAAGGATGGATTCGGCTGCACGAGTGGGACGAGGACGATCAGGAATAGGGATGTGGTGGATCCAGTTCTTCTTCCTCTCTTCTTCTGTAAAGAGAGCATCTTAGACTTTTTGGGCCGCGAGACGCTGGGCTTCATCTTCAGCGAGGAGACGCTGCTGTTCGGCGACATCTTGGGCGTCAGAGTCTAGCTGGCGCTGCCACTGTTTAGTGAGAGCCGTGTTGGTGGCTAGCCAGATAGTGCGAAGCATGGCAGCTGCTTGAGTGTCGTCGATGGCGGGACTCAGGAGAAGTGCACGACTGGCATTGAAACCGACAGAGGTAAAATCTGGACATTGCGCCAGGGTAGGGTCCGCAAGCAACCGAGTCATGACCGAAGTGAGAAATACGAAGTACGACGAGTGTTTTATTTAAGATTTAGCTTTGGTGAAGAGCTAAGGTTGCTGAGACGAGGCTTGTTGAAATTTCGAATGGGAGGCGCTAACGCCAAGATGGTGGTAGCGAGAAGGAAGATTCGAAATCAACAAGTAACTAAAAAGGAAAATCACCTCTAGGTATTGCACTGGGATGTACCCCCAGCCTTCGAGATCTGAGCCTTCCCAGCTGTCCACGTTCAAACCCACTCGTGATCTTAACGTTTACGAACTCTCCGCGGATGAAGCCAGTGCCACAGGCTTGCAAAACGAGACTTCGGTGCTTTCCATCGACCGGGAGGAGACACTCGCGCTTCTAGGGATATTTACTCTTACGATTTTGAAGGGGTCTGTGTCTATACTCGGTGTAACGTTGTCCGCCTCAAAGACAGCTCACCATGTGTTCGCCCCTCGTTCTGCTCCGATCCCCATCTTGGAGTGCGCCTCATCGAACCTACATACCGACTTGGATATATATTCTCTTCCTCCTCGCGTGAGACAGAATCACGGCGGAGCTCTAGTAGCAATTCGATCGCTCGATACGGGAGTGGAGGGTCTTGGACGTGTCTGTCGCGTCTTTGATGGAGTTTTCGAACCTTCGCGTTGGCAGCGGAGCTCGGCAGAGGTTATACGCCCTGGCGTGAACTTGGTACGTGTGCTGTATTTGAATGTATGTAAAGTATTATTTATCCTATCATACAGATGACGCACAGCGACAGGGACGTGCTACCGTTCGTATTGCCAGAATCGTGGAGTATTGCCCTGAGCGCGGCAGAGACGTCACCATCTCCCATACCACTCTCCGTTTATGTTGTCAAGGGTCCGAAAAAGTCCGGAAAGAGTACATTTGCTCGGACGCTCTTGAACAGGCTTCTAACAAGGTATGTTTGGAATTCAATACATATGAACACCGCTAACAGTACTTTATAGATTTCAGCGCGTAGCATATCTTGAATGCGACGTAGGGCAGTCCGAATTTACACCTGGGGGGTTGGTCGCCTTAAATATCATAGATAAACCGGTATTCGGTGAGTAATCACTTCATCAACCTATTAGCGCCCCTCAAATATCTTGGTATCTTAGGCCCGCCTTTTACACATCCCAGTCTTCCATACCGAGCGCACTACGTTGGAGCGACTTCACCACGGTGCAGTCCGGCACACTATCTTGCGGCCGTTCAAGCGCTCCTCGAAACGTACAAGTTCGAGATTCAAACTTCGATGCCTGATGACGAGTCGATTGACACGCGGGTCACCGACGTTATTCCCCTGGTGGTCAATACAATGGGGTGGACGAAGGGTCTTGGGGCTGACCTAAATGCCAAGATCGAGGAACTCACCGAAGCTACTCATGTATTCGAGGTCGTCGGTCCGGAGGAGAAAGGTTGGCCAGCCTATGACATTCTCCAGTCCGCGCCGACCAAGGCGCTCCAGCATACTCTCGAATCAATATCACCAAATTTAGCAAATGCGCATTTTAATGCCGTCGACCAGCGCAACTTGAACATCTTGTCTTATTTCTATGCTATCTTTCCATCTATTACATCGATGTCGTTTCCATATCCATCCGCTCCTCTTCGTCAAATGACAGCAACCAAATGGGAGACCTCTCATCCTCTCTGTGCCCGGTATCCGTACGAGGTGGACTGGAGTCGGGCATTTGACCAAGTCATCCTTATTGGTGCAGGATACGAGGACGTGATACCCTCGGAGATCTCCAACGTCTTAAACGGCGCAATCATTAGTCTTGTCGAATGCGAACCTGGAACCGAAGATCCAGTGTATCTAGACCCGTCTGGCGCCCGGGAATTGCCATACGTCCAAGCCAGACATCCACCAGTACCCTCGACCTCCACTTGCCATGGCCTCGCTCTCATTCGTGCCATCTCACCTAGCTCATCGCACATGCATATACTCACCCCGGTTTCGCCCACTATCCTTGCACGCTGTCGGGTGATCGTCAAGGGTGAGCTAGAGCTGCCTATCTGGGGAATGCTGGATTTTACGGACGCAAATGAAGGGGTCGCAGGTGTAGAGAAGGGCCGCGTGCCATATTTGCAGTGGGGTAAGAGTGAAGGCTTGGGCGGCGAGCGTAGGAGGGTGAGGAGAAATCTCATGCGAAAAGCCCAGATGTGAGGTAAACAAACAAAAGTATATTATCAGGTACAGCCAGCATTACAACAACTGTTTTACATCACTCAAACACGATGACTACGTCCGGACCTTTGGTATCCAACCATCGCTTCCAAAGTTCGCTATATTTTGGCGACCAAGGCCGGCGTAACACTTGCTCGTCTGACAGAAAGCGCGCAATCCGCTGCATTTCTTTCAGGTCTCTGTGAGAGTAATACTTCATGCGCACAACTGCTTGGGCAAGCGTCGGGTGATACTTTGATCCCAAACACCAAGCAGGCATCACTTCTTCTGAGCAGCAATGTCAGACGGAGGACTCACCGATCCCCGGAACACCATCCTATGCCACTTGCAAAACGTTTTGGCTGGTATAGAAAATCCACTGCTTCCTTCGTCGGGGTGCTGTACGTCGCGGTATTGAGGTAGAAGACGTGGTGTATAGTACGTCACGAGAGGTATCTCAGACGTCTCTTGCGGCGGCCGGCGAGCACTAGACTGTGCAAGGTGGCGTCGGTAACGAGCAGCAATGCACCAGTATTTCGCTTCCGCTTCTAGCGTGGGGAATGTTCCGCACCGCGAACGTGCAGGGAATGGAAATAGTAAGAGGCGGACACGAAGACAAGTAGAGGAGAGTGCGTGATAGAGTCTGTCCATGAGGGTCCTGTTGAAACCTCGGAGTAGGCGCCTCCCAAGGTGAGTCGCGCAGAGAGATCGCACCACCCATGTGGAATCGACGAGTGGGAGGCTCGTTAATAGCAAGAAAGTAACGATGACTGGTGGCTTGGAGTAGATGATGCTCTGGGCCTCGGTCAGGTCTGCATTTCGTGACAAGGAGATCTGGACGTGGAGCTCACCTGCAACTGCATTTTGCGAGTTTCCTCGACGACAATTGGGTTGTAGTTCAAATGATTATCGATTAGCCTTTAGACCCTATGGAGATTCGGAGTATGGGACTGCCTTGCAAGCGTTATACGTCAGTTTTGATGGTGATAACCGGCACTTACGAGACACCCGGATTCCCTAAGCCCATCCGCTTTGACCATCCAACCTCATGGCGGGCCGCGAGGCATGATGGCTTGGCGGTACTATTTGTAGGACGATCACCATGACATATCCATACAAAAGCAGGTCTGTTTCAACAATAAGAATGTGTCATTTTGTATCGTTTCCATATACAGGGCTTGGGGTCAGGATGTTCGTTTGACACTGGGCAGACTCTAGAGCAGTCTGTACAGCGCTTGTCGAGCTAGTAGTATTTGTTAGCACTAAAGGGCATCGAGGTGAACTTTAACGTTAGAGTGAACGTCCAAATTTACATAACGTTATCTGATCAAGGTCTTTCTGGGTTAGTACATACTTGATCGAGTCAATGGTCCATCGCACGTGTAGTGACGTTACCAAAACTTGAGGGGGTTTTATGCTAGTAAATCAGATGAAATACAAAACGTACATACATGCGTAGCGATGTAAATGAAGATGGTATAGTTAATCACCCAGCAGCCTGTGTCCGCTCTAACATCTTATTCACCGCAACATGCCTCCCAGAAGACGCATGCGCCATATCTGACAACCTGTTCTCCCTCATCCTCGTCAAGACCTGCAGCAAGAAGGTCGACGTAGCACCATGCGGCCTCTGTGCATCGTCCAGGTTCTCCACGGGCGTAGATACCCCGCTATGGCTCACTGCCGATTGTGTCTGCGCCGACGCATGTCCGTAGAATGTACCTCTTGCAGAATCAACATGATCGGAATCTTCGAGGTACCGCTCCCAGAGTGTGTATAGTGAAATGATTTCTTGTGCAATAGTGGCGACCAATGGCATTGAGATGTTAAGTTCAGCAAAGAAAGCAACAAAGTCCTGTGAGGGTTTCTTTGAGTGACTCGATGATGTACTAGAATTTTGTCGCGACGATCTTCTCGGGGAGCTGTGGACTGGTGTTGTTTCAACTGAATGAGACTGCTGTTGGAGGAGCTCTCTAGTTGGACCGTGTAAAACAACAGCGAGATAGAGTGCGGTAATGGCGAGTAGATGGGGAGGATAAAGCAGGCAGAGATCTGAGCGATATGTGTCGTTGACGATAGACCTACGATTAGAGTCAGTTATGAAACACTCCTCCTAAAATCCGCTCACCAAGCTAGCTGGAACGCATCATCTGGCAACTCGAGTTGTCCATCACCACTTCCCCAATACCGTGGCCCATCGTCCACTCCCACTCCCACTTCACCAGCCTCTGTCTGCAAGTCGTTTGAGCTCTCCTTCTTGCAAATGGACAACAACGTGCGATATGGATGAAAAACAGTGAGATCACATTCGAGGTCCGCAACGAGGTAGAACTCCATCTCGGCGAGTTTGGAATTGTCTGAAGGAAAGTATTTCACGCCGTACGGCTGTTCTGTGCAACTTGACATCAGTATTCAAACAGATACACTTGGTGGTGAAACACCACGGCTGAGAAAAGGCGAGCCTCTGCTACCATATTCTTGATGTGCACGGGCGACTCCTCCGCCTTTCCAGCCACGTAACAGCATGCTGCGATGACGATGAATGGGTCGGTTTCGCAATACGAGTTTTTGATATAAAATCTTCGAAAAAATACGATGGCTGTCGCGATGACGCGTTGCCTGAAGTTGAGCTTTTTTCCTAGTTTTGTTATAACTAGAAAAGTTTGAACGTCACTCCGCATTCGCATGTGTATTAATTACACTCACCATTCGCAAAGAAAATTGCAAAGAAATCGAGGTACTCCGGATCATCCACATATTGTAGGTCATCTGAACGAGACTCCTTCAAGGTAGCGCGGTCCACTATCCATCGTTTGCTATGATACCCACCATAAGCTTCTTATGCCTCGTGACTTTGATCCTCCTCACTAGTGCGAACTGGCCCAGAAATCAGTGGCCATATGGAATCGACAGAGTACGTTTAAATCAGGATTGAACAAGGAATGCAGGAAAGTTGTGCTAGAGTATTGTTACGGAGAATAATGAGGTTGCACAACTTGAAAGTTGGAACGGTCACCGGCCCATCAGGAAATTGGCCGAAACTGTTGTGACCAGATACATGTGACAAACAAAACACATTATTCCTAACAACGGGTTCGCTGTGCGAACTTGTGACCTTGCGCATGCTCCGTCTTAAATTTTATCAAGCTCACGCCAAGTTATACAATCAGTGTACATGGATTATAATATCTCATTCGTTGTCATTGATTAGCATCTGCTATTTCATTGTCTTTCACGAAGAATAACGTCGCGTGAAATTTACGAGCTAGGTACGATATCAAAATTAAAATTGCACGCTCAGTCTGAAATCGATTGGAAGGGAATGTGTACTGTCCCTCGTAGGAATCGCTTATTTTGAATTTGCCTTGATATGGCCTGTGATGTCCACTCAGCACTGCGGCAGCGCTGATGGTGCTGGTAACGCACGTGCAATTACGCTGCGTGAGCAAGTGAAGATTTTGCAGCATCATGGTATCCAAGATCCTGGTAACATTTCGCATGCTGACGATTAGCGCACGGGTTTTTGGGTCACTTGTTATTGTATTTGTATCATGATCGCGCGTTTTCGTTGCGAGCATCGAGCATCATGCACAGTGTGGATGCTGTGCTTCCATCAGTAAACCGGTGAGTTCTTGCTGGCGATGAATGCAGGATGAGTTAGAACAGGAGTATGTAGTTGGGAGGACAATGATCGCCAGACGTCAAGCGCACATGGCACTAGACCAATTTAGACGACAGGTGGAGCTCGAGCTCAGCGCTCAGCACGAGCACAGGTGGAGCACAGACAGGAGAGTCACGCGAATTGGTTCCGCGGGATCAAACGTTTCGTACTTAATATTGTAGATAGATAGATATGACGATATCTTCTTCTCACAGGTTCTCTGATGGCCCTCCCTCCTTCAGCACACATCTTACTCTTAGTATGTAAGTGTTAGTGGATCTCGTTGATTGATGTGCGTCGTTTAGGGATGCCCATCAATATCACTCTGAGATCATGATATCCTGCATTATTTAGCCTATGTGACCTTGTAGTACGTAGAGTGACAGTATAGAAAAAAACAAAAGCAACAAATCCATTAATGCGTCCTCGGGCTCATTTCATTTTGATGGGCCGCTTTACGTCATGGCAGGTCGGGCATCACTCTCACTTGAAACATCGATGGGCCATGCCTTCACATATAAAGAAAATCCAAGGAATGACTTACTTCCCAAAGTCAGAGGGCCACTTCCAGGGAGACCAGCCAGTTGACTAGCACCTGTTTAACATCCACTGCACTTGCTACGTCGTTGATACTTGTATGTCGAGGACTTGTGTGTCGTGTCGATCGAATGCTTGCTGTTGCGTACGCGTGCCAACAACAACAATCCCCCCTTCGGCGGACTGGAAGGCCCATTCGAAAAATGTCTCAAAAACGCGCGCAATGGATTGTTTGCGCCACGCGCATGTTACATCATGCATGGCATGCTGGTCATGATCCACATCATCCTTCTTTTCTTCTATGTCCGTCACTGGGAACACCATGCAACTTCGCTTTCACACCAACAAACAATGATTTCTGGCCTGTGGTGCTTAGTGCTTCACTGCAAGCATTTTATACTGTACGTATCCACAATGTCCACTGATATCCTAATGATACACCAATGACATGACATGGTCCAGATATACACGGCTGTTCTGCTCTTCCTTACCCAACGGCTTGCGATTTCGAGAACACTCGTACGCCGTGTGAAACTGACGGCCGTTCATGACATCTCTGGCGCATGGGCGGGTCTCGGTTCTGCACTCACTGGTGTCTGGCGACAAACTGACATCCCCGCTTCATGGTAGATGACTTCTGCTGTGGCAGCCTACCTTGCGAGCATAAGCATGCTGCATGTCACCTCTTCTACTCTCCTACAATTTCAAACCTTCAATGCTTCTATGACAACTTTGGTGCCTACAACACTAGGATGGCTAAACGATTCGTCGCATGGTTATTTAACAGACCTGGGACCCATTACCACATCCCTACCAGTTGTCAAGCATTTGACTGGACTCGTGTCCGCAGGGTTGTCCAACACCACACTCTACGACACCCTCAAAAGAACCGCTATAGCAGGGAATGCGACTGTGAACGCAACGACAGTAGCCTCGAGTTGTGGATTGGTTCCAAATGTGACATACTCTGCGGATGCCAACACAGCGATCGTTCCGTCTGGGCCAGTTGCCACTCGCGTAGTTATTGCGAGTGCTCTCTGTCGGTGGTTGTGATTGCAGTGATGTTTTATCACGCTGACAGTATTTACAGGGCCAGATCAGATACATATAATTCCATGGATAGAATTTGAAGATTCTTCCAGTGACGCCTCAGAGGCAAGTGTTCTCTTAGTTCGCGCCCACTATAGAAGTTGGATAACAATTTGACTCTAGCTTGCTGGTGTCTATCTTATGGTATCCACATTATTGGGGATCGACCCTTCAGTACAAGATGAGGTTGCTATAAACATGACTTGGAGTACGTTTGCTTATTTGTAATACAGTCATAATAACAATACGTTCTGCAGATATCCCTGATCGACACTCCATACGTCACCCAGGTCTATTTCGTATATTGCTCGCTGTCAGCGAACACTACACATGGGGTGATCGACATGCAAACCAACAGCCTACTGAGTCCTACGTCCTTATCGCAGCCATCCACGCAATGGGAAATGTATCAATTCGGGTGGTCGAATACTACCAGTTGGCAAACACAGGTGCGTTATACGGCGCTCACTTTGAGCTCAATGACATACTGTCAATTTTAGATCGGCAGCTTTGGCTACCCCGGATAGCACCAGCGGGATTCTATTTGATCCATATGCACAAATCACCGAACTCTCTGTTGCGGACGAGTAGGCCAAAAACATGACTGCACTGTTAAAATGTCTCACGTACGGCTTGACTTCTAGGTATATCATGTCGTTGGTAGGCTTGAATCTCACTGAGGAATATACACAATTCCGCGACGGTGCTTATCCAATCTCTAATTTCACTTTGAGCCCGGATGAACTAGAATTCGCGGTTGCGAGAGCAGCTGCACAACTCATCTGGCTAGGTAAGGGATACGTTCGACGTTTTTTAAACTCTCGCTCATTCTGTCCACATGCTTAGCGGGACAAATGGGTACAGCCAATGGAGGAATTGACCCTGGCAATGGGACAGCCTATGTTAACGAGGAGTTCATTGCCCTACGCCTCAACGTAAGTGAACTGCGCAGATGTTGCTTTTAAATGACTAATGGAGCATTGTAGATCAACCTTCTTCCTGTGAGTTCGTGGTAACATCTATGCGATGACTATTCATCGAAATGGTTCTAGTTGGCTTTCGCGGCGTCTGCATCGGTGATAATGTTGGGACTGGCGCTACATATGACAAGAGCATTTCATGCATCACACGACAGTCAGGCTGCTATCTCAAACATAGGTGTGCTGCAACTCCTGTGGTTGGGCCATCGTTCAGCCTCTATCAACGAAGTCCTGGAAGATGTGCAACATCCGACAGAGGCCAATCTGCGGCGAGCGGGCATGATAGATGTCTGCCTTACGAAAACAATATCTGATAAGGAAGAGTTTGGGAGTTCAACAGATAGTCTCTCCTTGTGCAGTCAACTACCATCATGACGATGATATATGATTTGGGTTCGATAATAGGAGGCTGGTGAGCTCCTGCTTATTGTGATATTCAAGGAGTTTCTACGCGACGCGCGTGCCTGTCTGTTCGAGGGGGTACCATCATCCCGTAATAGATCTATACGCATACACACAGCTACTAGCTACAATATCTCGAGTGTCTTGACGTCCACCATGTCCTGAGCAAAGGCCATGTCGTTGACTTGTGCAATGATAGCATTATCTGATGCGATTCTCTTGTATTCTCCCCCACGCTGCTGCGCTAGCAAAAATGCACTAAAAGGCTGTCCAAGGCGAACGATCAATCGCAACGCTCGCTCGCCCGATTCCAAATCAACCGGCTCCTCTGCTTCAAGGGACCCGCCAGGTGAATCCTGCAATGGAGACCCAGGCGCAGACCAATAGAATTCCTCGCTCTGCGTGTCGTCTGCAATGTCAGGCAGCCTAGCTGCCAAGCCTAACAGCTCCGCAAAATCAGGCAGCTCGAGGAGATCACGATCCCATGGGCGGACGAGCAAGAACGTCTGCCGTGTGGAAAATGTCCAGGAGGACGGAATCAGTTTGTCCTCCATGGTGATTAACAGGTCGCGAAGACCGTCTGCCTTGACTTCATACGCGGAATGTGAATCTTGGTCTCGAGTATGACTCCGTTTCACTGCCGTGACACGAAATGCTATGCAAGGCAGATGCAGTCTGCAGTTCGCAAACGAGGAGCGTTCTTCTGATCGAGAAGGGTATAAAGCTTTGAAGCTGATTCGATAGCCACGGTGTTTCGCAGTAAAGAAACCGAACTCTGAATCTCATCTTCAGACAGAGATGGCAGGGTGTACGGTGGTGCTTTGTATGAAGTAATGTCGGCCGGCAGACAGCTATTGAATTCGGATGATTGCCCCACCCAGTCCAGGGCACTGATGTCGCCCGACTGAGCTATGACCTCCTGCAAGAGCCTCCCAAGCGCCTTTTGCTTCTTCTCGCCATAAATGACAGGTAGGTTGACGCCGAAGATACCAAACAATGAGTATGCAATATCTTCCGGCCATGTGGTAACACGCGCTGACACCCATTGGAGTTTCTCCCGGGCGTTTCTCATCCCCGGACGGAAGGCAACAAGGGTTCGTGCATCTATTCCCGTCGCATCTCCCATCTCCTGCATGATTGTAAGAGAATCTTTGTGGTTGGGAGAGCGATCGTCGAGATACAACGACCAATCCTTCTGGTAAAAGAGTACAAACATTGAAGCCAGAAATTCTTGAACTGTCCATCCTCGCGTGTTCCAAGCGCTACTTGTGAGTGCGCCAGACTGCGACAAGGTGGAACGTCCGACAGGTAGACGATGGTGAGTGCTGAGTGGCGATACCAGACAAACATGGAGTTGACCGATTGTTGGACCTCGACATTGTTAGTCTGGTCGATGCAACAGGTATCAATCCATGCCCAACAATACCCTTTATCACGAGCAGTTCTACAGAATGACTGCAACTTTGCGATGCCACCGATTGGATCCAAGTCGTACACCACCTTGTTCTGGATGTTATGCAGTGATGGCTCCGTCACTTCCCACCTATGCGATAGCATGATAACGGAAGTACATCGACACCACGTCTTGGATGCGCTCCATTTGAAAGTCCGGATGTTTCGTTGTGGATGACAAAAGTTCTTTGTGCACTGTGCTTGTTCTGAAGGCATTGATCTGTGCCTCGCGGTTGCATAAGCGCCCAGTGGAGGTGTTGATTAGACGGTGCGGGGCGTTGTCGAGCTGGGCCTTAATGCTGTCTTCAATAGCATGTTCTGCTTCGGATGGACTAATATACTGTTGGCGCAAGTCTGGACAGAGAGTCAACAATGTTTGAAAGATGTGTTATTTGAGGCGTACTTCTTGTTTCTGTATCGGGAGCACTTTCCAACTTGGAGAGCATGGTTGAGAGCGCCTCGATGGCTTCATCATATCTATGTGCGCCATGAAGCACCGCATGCTTCAACTGATATCCAAAGTAAGATGAAGGGTCGAGTTCAATGACCTGCGTATCACCAAAATTAGCGTTGAGTACGAAACAGTAATTGTCATCCCACCTTTTCCGCATCGAGGAGTGCATCGTTCCATAGCATTTTTCCCGACCTCGCTTTACTGCGGTTTGCAAAGGTGGTATGGGTTGCAAAGTCGAGATCGATCGCTGCGGAGTAAAGCTCGATAGCCTTGTCGTAATTACCCGCAGCGAGGGCTTCATCTCCGCCCACAGCGAGGTCAGTCACTCCAGCAGCAGCATAGAGCACGCTGCAATCTTGCTGAAACCTGAGTGAGATAAGGATGAGAGTTATACGAGGTTTACATCAAGAAGACTCGCCAGTGGACCAATCAAGGCAGCGTGATTTCGTAGCCTCGTCAACCCTGTCCATCATGTATCGGTATGCTTTGATGGCTTCTGGAAGTCTACCTGCTCGAGGAGCGCATCGCACCAATTCTGATGTGCATTTCGCCACAAAGACCGCATATCCCACCCAAATAACTAGAAAAAGCAGTGAGACGAAAAAAAAATTCCGGTTACATTTCAATCAACCTACCACCACGAAGACATCGTATAGAGTGGATGGCCGACACAGACGAGAAATCAATAGTGTTGACAGCAGCAGTGAAGTGGCCACCGCTTCGTTGTGACGTGCGTCGTGTGATGCATTCTTTCCCAGTTGGACGTGTAGATAAGCCTGGAGTGCGAGGTTCGCAAAATCAGCATCGATGCATGAATCTGGAGTTGACTGTGTCAGGAGCACTCACTTCCACGACACCACACGCATGAGAATTTGGATGGGCGAGTGGTAGCTAGCTCTTGGACGCGCAGAATCGCCTCGTCATGTTGATTTGCATTGAAAAGGGCGATGGCCTAATGGTTGTTGTGTGAGTAGCGAGTACATAAGACACAATTGACGCCTTAATCAAGAGTAGAAGACGAGTTTTATTCAAGTCTGCGTCCACGTGCATGAACGCGATGTCAAATGCTTTCATCGCGTCGGAACTGTTTTTTCCACAGGGCGATGCCCTTGGATATGCAGCCCATCAAGGATGGCTTGATACTGATGCTCTGTATCACCATATATATTAGTCTGTTTGAAAAGGTCAGGACGAAATGGTGCATCTCACTTTGAGCGCGTCATCAAGTGCGTGGTCCCAGTCTGAATTTCTTGCCTTGACAAACGAACGATTCGCATGAGACTTGTAGTCATTGTCATCGGCGGCGATATCTTGTGTTAACATTTTGTCAGCAGTGAGCAAGTCTCCGGCTATGCATGCATCGCGGGCTATCGTGCTGATAGTGAGGACCTGCATTATGCATGGTCAAATTAAGTGGTAGGCGTAAAAGCTAGAAATATACCTCGCATTCAGGCTGTTGAGCATTGGCATCGAGATTGAGGATCAATAACAAGGAGACGAGCAAAGAACAAGAACTCACATTATTTGCCGCATGTTCCTTCAAAGTGTTCCTGCAATGCATCCTTGGAGAAAATGAGATGAAGAAGGGATGGAAAATGAACAGAATCTTACATCTGTTGCCTGGTCCTCGAGAACGTCCTCTAGCGAAGGTACTGCCCACTTCGAGATCATCAAATCTGTTCCTCCACTCAGGATGTACTTGCCATCCATGGAGAAGGCGACGCAACACACCGCTTCGGTGTGTTTGAATATGGCAATGATTTGTTGATCCGAAAGCCGCCAAAGGTAAACCTGGCGGTCATCAGACGCGGTCGCGAAATGGGTGCCGGCAGGGTTGAGGGCAATCATGAAAATAGCCTCAGCATGGCCCTTGCAGGGCTCACCGATCTGCTTCCAGGTCGATGAATCCCAGATCCTTATGGTGGTATCACAACGACTACCAGCCGAAAGAAGCTGTTTGCCATCAGGTGTCCACACTAATGACTGATTCCATGCTCCATACGCAGAGTGACCCTGGAACTTTGCGATGCAATTCCTCTTGCCTGGATTCCATATTTGGATATTTGACGAGGTTGCGATGGCAAGATATTCACCAGATGGTGAATACCGAACACAGAGGACTTTAGCGCACAACTGATTGGATTTCTTTGCACCTGCCATGTTTTGGTGTTCCAGAGCTCCACCGTGGTGTCATATGAGCCACTCGCTAGCAATGTGCTGTCTGGGGAAAAGTCGAGCGACGGTATCCTTTGGGAGTGGACTTTGATGGGCTGGGTGAGAGATTCCCCGTCTGTGTTCCAGGCTATGACCTCTCCACCATGATCACCGCTTGCTATCCATTTCCCATCTCTTGATAGTGCAAATCCTTCCACTAGGTTGGAATGCCCCTCCATTATCTTCAATTCAACACCATCTTCCAAGTTCCACAAACGAAGCGTCTTGTCGGCCGAAGATGTCACCATATGGCGTCTATCGGGAAAGACTGCGACTCCAAAGAGAGTATCTCTATGACCTCGAAATGTTCGATTGGGGGTGGTGATTCGAATGACGGGATGTTCTGCTTTCCTCATTCTGCTCGAGGTGGATGGTGTTGAGCACAACTTGTTAGAGAGACTGCGGGCGTTCTGAATCTTAATATAAGTTTCAGAGGTACACGGTGTACGGCGGCCGGGTGCTTCGTGTATCATTAGACGCCCAGGACACGTGGCCTGAAACCTATGGTGTCTGGAATCTCCCCTACTTATCAGTGCACACCGGATCAGGTCACAGATATGTTTAGACTCTACTGGTGTAACAACAAAGTGGACCCAAGACGCACAAGAGCGAAATTGCAAATTGAGAAACTGTAAAGTCGCTTACTAGTAAATGACAGTAGTGTCGACACCGAGTGCCAATAAGTAGTACCAGAGCGACGGCAAAAGCTGATGCGTATCGGGACCACATCCATCTGTTCGACAACCTACGCGAATGATCGTCGCACTAGCGAGGTACGTCGTTCCTCAGACTGCCACTAAACCATCAATCATAAACCTAGTATTCATTTATTTTAAGTATGTAGAAACAAGTTGCATCCGTAAACATACCTTTTTCACGTACAATTCTGACAGGCGGGTGTACCGACCGATATACTATCAGAGACGAGAACTTGCAAACGCTAGTGTACATAAATAGCTCAACGTATTTGTGCCTGTTTACCAGTACCTTCAACTTCTAGCAAGGACAAACAACTCGTCACATTTACAAATTACCACAGCCAGTCGTTCAGAACATGGATGATCCTCTAGATGCCGCATTTGTGACAGGGCTTTGCTATCTTCTGGCCCCAGTAGGCTGGCAGCCAGTCATAACAACCGTGCTCATACTTCTGTTCACTAGCCGTAACACTGTGCAGCCTTTCCTGGCAGTTTTTCCCAGATATGTAGCGCTAGCACTTGAGGAAGCCATCGAGAACTCGATTTTGGAGTATACTGCATGGCTGCTCAGCTGCTCAGTTGTCATGTACTCAATTGACTCATATTGGGAGAAACTCCCCATGGTCGTCCCCATCCTCATCTTTTCTGTGTGCCTCATCTCGCAATGGGCGAGTTGCTGCTGGCATCAGTCACACAGCAAGACGAACGTGCCGGTGCGAGATGTATTCGTCACAGTCGGTGACCGTCATCCAGATTTGCTGTCTTTGGACCACCCGTTATCTGAACTGGTCGTGAATACCAAAGCTGAGCTTGCAAAGGCTCATTCCCTCCTTTCCAATTTTGCTGCTGCTTCTGTGAATATACGCGGACCTCTTGATACCGCCTGGGCTGTCCAAAAATTCTCCCGCCTCATTGGCAATCGACGGTCACAGATCGTTCGGTTCATGTCTCCTTGGCGATTCAATCCAAATAGTCCAATCTTTCCCCCTCCTCTTGGTCCGCGCTATGCAATGCTTCGTAGTGAAGCGGACATCCCGGACATCCCGTGGCTATCGCCCGTTCCTAGTGCGATATGGATTGATAGACGATTGGCAAACATGTGGGAAGATGAAAGACGGACTGAACCCCCGGGATATAATGAGTATGCCCTCTCTTTTTTATCTCGGCTGTTCGATGTACTTAATGACGATTCTAAGCCAATGTGATCTCTTCTCAAGGCCGCTATTTGTCATGAGATGTTAAATTCAATCCTTTTGGACGTCGAGAAGATCGGACACCTTCCAGATGATGATTAAGCTTGTACTACTATCACGGAGGAATATGGATCGTTCCCGTTGTCTCATCTATATGATCAGTTGTAGATATTTGGCGCCCGGTAAGATACTGAACTCTGTGTACTTCTATATCTTTCCCTTGCTTTTCGGACATCATCTTCCGACGGCGGTTGTTCTACTGGGAGCTCTGCTACGATATCTTTCAGCACTAAGATCATGTCATCGTGCGTGACAGGATTTTCCGGGAAAGTGGCAGACTTGCCACCATTGGGTTTAATTTTTAAGGAGCCCGGAGGCGACAGCTTTGAGGCGAGATTTGCAAGACCTTTCACAATAGGCGGATGGTTGAAGTAATCTGAAAAGCACGCACTGCAGGTGGAAGTCCAGTCCTCCACCTGGAATCTCTCCTGAGATTTCTAGCTAATGGGAAGGCAGGCAATATGGCTGCAGCCAGCTGGGTACGCAGCTAGGTAGTACCGTGCGTTTTTAGCTATAAGGCCCGATAAAATTGATGCAAATGGAAAGCATGACCCAGAGGAATGATTTCAGATCGTGTCTTCGTCGCGGCGAACAACTCTTGTGCCACAATATTTCTGTTGCTAAGTTAGCGAGTACATGAGACACAATTGACGGACCTTGATCAAGAGTAGAAGACGAGTTTTGTTCAAGTCTGCGTCCACGTACATGAATGCGAGGTCAAACGCTTTCATCGCATCCCGGAGCTGTCGTTGTCCATAGTGGGCGATGCCGTGTGAAATACAACCGATCAAGGATGGCTGTATACTGATACTCTATATCACCATATGACTTAGCCTGTTTTAAAAGGTCACGATGAGAACACTATCTCACTTTTAATGCATCATCAAGTGCGCGGTCCCAATTGGCTTTTCTCGCCATGACAAACGAGCGATTCGCATAAGAGTTGTAATCATTGCCATCAGCGCCGATATTTTGTGTTAACAACCTGTCAGCAATAGACAAGTCGCCGGTTATGCACGCATTGCGGGTTGTCGTGTCTATGACGAGGATCTGCATCACGTATGGTCAAATTGCGTGGTAAGAGTGAAGGTTTAAAACAAGCCTCGCAAATGGACTGTTGAGCCTTGGCATCAAGATCAAGGATTAACATCATGATGCAAGACGACCCGACTGTAAATGAACGGGAACTCACACTATTTGCCGCATGTTCTTTCAAAGTGTCTTCCCGTAATGCATTCTTGTAAGAAATGAGATAAAGAAAGGACGGAAATGAACGGAATCTCACATCTATCGCCTTGTCCTTGAGAACGTCCTCCAATGAAGGCACTGCCCACTTTGAGATCATAAAATCTTTTCCGCCACTCAGGATATACTTGCTATCTGTGGAGGAGGCGACACAATACACCTCTTTGGTGTGTTTGAATATGGCGACAGTTTGTCGATCCGAAAGCCGCCAAAGGCGAACCTGGTGGTCGTCAGATCCGGACATGAGAAGGGTGCCAGTAGGATTGAAGGCAATCATGAATATATTCCCAGCATGGCCCTTGCAGGGCTCACCAACCTGGTTCCAGGTCGATGAATCCCATATCCTTATGGTAGGATCAGCATGAGTACCAGCCGAAATAAGCTGTTTGCCATCGGGTGTCCATGCTAATGAGTAATTATATGCCCCGTTGAACGCAGAGTGACCCTCGAACTTTGCGATGCAATCCATCTTGCCTGGGTTCCATATTTGGATATTTGATGTAGTTGCGATGGCCAGACATTCACCAGACGGTGAATACCGAACATAGAGGACTTCAGCGCCACAGCTGATTGGATTTCCTTGCACTTGCCATGTTTTGGTATTCCAGAGCTCCACCGTGGTGTCAAATGAGCCGCTCGCCAGTAATGTGCTGTCTGGGGAAAAATCAAGCGACCATATCCGTTTGGAGTGGACTTTGATGGGCTGGGTCCAGGGTGAGAGATTCGCCATCTCTGTTCCAGGCTATGAGCTCTCCACTGAAATCACCGCTTGCCATGAATTGCCCGTCTCTTGATACTGCAACTTCTTGTATGCCGGAACGATGCCCTCCATTATCTTCAATGCAACACCGTCTTTTAAGTCCCACAGACGAAGCGTCTTGTCGTACGAGCCCGTCACCATACGGCGTCTATCGGGAAAGACTGCCGCTTCCCAAATAGTATCTTTATGACCTTGAAATATTTGACTGGGCGTGGTGATTCGAATGGCGGGGTGTTCCACTTCCATCATTCTTTCCGGGGTGGATGGTGTTGAAAACAACTTGCTTGTAGGTGTCTTGATCTAAGTTCCAGAGGTACCGGGTCTTTTTCTACTTCTGCACAGCTCAACATCATTAGACGCCCAGGACACGAGGCCTGAAGCCTATGATACTCTGAATCTCCGTTACTTATCAGTGCACGAATCAGATCACAGGTATGTTTACTGATTGTCGACTCATACCATGACCTGATGTAACTGGACCAAGACACACAAGAGCGAAAATTACAAATTGAAAAGCTGTAAAGTTGGAAAGGCGTGAATTACTTACAGTACTAGTAGTAAATGACTCTGACCTACGCTGAGCACCCATATTATATGAACAAGCTGATGACTGTCTCAACGATTCACACAGAATCGCACTCCCCTGGACCCCAGTCGACGCGTACGAAAAAGCAGCACTTATGTAATTAAGTTTAAATTTGAGAAGTCCCAATTCAGGAGTCCTGGCTTGTATACAAAAGACGACAGATCTACTGGTCACGAGTCTCAACTTGTACAGCATCCCTAGTAGCGGTGCATGTGCATTGTGCACCCAGTCCCCGACTCCGTCACGATTATAGTATATCTTTCCACCCATCCTAGTTTTCTAATCTGTACAACTAGGACAACTTCAACAAAGCACCTCCAAGCATGTTTAGCTAACAAGTTGTCATACTTATGAACAACACAAATTTCCTTTTTGTTCCCTCTAGAACACATGGATACGCATACTAATTGTTTAGGTCTCATGGCTACCAATATCATGGTCATACTGATTGTGGCGATACAAGCGCTGAATATTGAATGGTGGTATATCTACTAGCACGAACGCTATTGTTAATATCTCCAACTTATCTCCCACTAGCTCACACCCCCATCCCTCGAATACTATGACTGTAGTCTTAAATGATCCCAGTTGGTGGCCAATAATCAATTCAAATATTTCTTTCAGCTACTGGGCCGGTTCGTCGTATCAGTCGGCCGTGTCTCTTGATCTAACATTGACTTATGATCATATCGCAGTCGCTGCGGCGTTGTGGTGGTATACGAGTGGGTGAGCAGGATAGTGTTCGAGTTCTGTTGAGATTCTCATGGTAATTCCAGTACTAACGCTCGGACAAGAGGTAGGTCGATGTTGTCGCTGGAGCAGTCAACTCGCTAAGAATGATGTCATAGATTGAACTAATCTGGGTAGGTGGCAGAGTCTCATATCGGAGGAAATACAAGGAGATCACACTGATTTCACGACAGAGGCAACATTGGTCCCTCATGACCGTGCTGTATTTTGCTGTTCGTACCTCATATTGTGCTATCATGATAGCATGGTTGGTAGTCGTACTGACTCCAAATTGTTTTAGACACGTTACATTGGACTACCGTATTCTGTGTATGTTCGGAGGCCAACATAATAGCGTTGTGCTAACAGCCCATCTCTCATCACCAGTATCAGCGTTCTGCGTACGTCTCTTGTACGCTGTGTTCACTTCTTCTGATTGGCGGAACACAGTAATTATGCCATCGGTGTCACTGACTGATACAGTGAGTATTGCGCGACCACCTCTCATCCAATGAATATACTCATATGTAGGGGTGAGTGAGATTCCAACCATTGAACTTGACTCGACATAACGATTCAATAGGTGTGAGTCTGAGTGTTTGGTTTTAGTACGAGGCTGATCACTAATTCGGTGTTTTAGGCAATATTATGATCTACGCAAGAAATGGGACAAATGTGCTCATAGCTGCCATATTGTGCGGTAAGTTACCCAACTGCAACACCTCAGTGATATTGACTCGACTGAAACATGATGCAAGTCATCATGATTGCTCGGTTGCATGCCATGTATCAGAGATCTAGAACGATGCTTATTTTCCTTGTTATTATTTTCCTGGCTGTAAACATCACCTGTGGAGTAATCGCGGCAATAGTACTCGAGCAACTCGTAGGGGGTAAGCTTTACTTATTGACCTGAAGAACGCAGCTCATTGTATGAACACCAGAGGAGTTCATACTCTCTGGCACGTATATGTGCGATTTTGGATATCGGGAGGATCTCAACTCAGAGCTTCTGATTTCAATGATTTGGGTGCTCAACACTGTTTGGGAGGTCCTAGCACTGTGCCTTTCAGTCTGGATTGTTGTAAAACATTTCCGTGACCTGCGACGACTCAGCCCATCGACAGGACTGGCCATCGGGGAGTGTTTCAGAGTGCTGATAAAATCTCACGTGCTTTATTTTGCGAGGTGAGCTTGTCGTGCGAATTTGGTTATATTTTTTCTCAAGTTTCGCACATGCTAGCTTTGTTTGTGTCTCTTGCCTCGAACTTTTGGTTCTCTCTCCAGAGATCTCGGTGCGCCGACCTGTTGCTAAAATCTGCTTATAACCACTGCTTATCATTACTGTCTGATTTACAGACTATGGGAGCTGATATACTCATCGATGCTCTTCAAATTTTTTTGGCCGTGCAGATGTTTGTGCTGGGACCACGCCTCATCCTTAGTGTTCGAGAATATCATGCTAAGCTCGTAGCCAACTCCGACGCAGAGACTAGCATGAATTCGATTGTCTTCCAGGACCGTGCACATGTACCAACTAGCAGTACTGTGTAGGGAAATACATACCGACTGTTCTGCAGGGAGGAGAAATTTGGTCGAGGGTCCGTCGTAGTTTTATGTAACATATGGTGTTTCGTTATATTTAAGACGAGGCTTATGTAGGTAAACCTATTATTCCTTGTATACTACTGGAATGAAGTAGCTGGCCACCCAAACTTGTACCAAGCAAACTGAATTATCCGGAACGTCTAGCGATCAACCCAGTCCGAATACTACAGTACAACGAGAATTAGTATAAGCCGCCTGGACAGCTGATTCACATCAGAGTCGCACTGGAGTAGCATTTACCAATGCAACTACAAGATACGTGTCAGATCTGCATCAGGGTCGCTGCGATGCTCTGTTCAATGGAGTCCACTCTGCTAAGTATGACCGTTAGAGTAACGCGCTCAACGATACAGACATGCATACATGCACCCGTTGCCATCACCATTCCCGTATAATCCATCTGGGCTATTCGTCTTGATGAATTACGAGGGGAAAATAAGTGGATTGCAGAGTGACAGCATGTCGTAGACAAAGGTTCGTATAAATGCCTACCTGAAGCATTGAAATACATGGTTTAATCGGTAGATACCTACACCATGACATCATCCTGTAATAAATCTATATGCATACACATAGCTGCTAGCTACAATATCTCGAGTATCTTGACGTCCACCATGTCCTGAGCAAAAGCCGTGTCGTCAACTTGTGCAATGATGGCACGATCTGATGCGACTCTCTGTATTCTCCCCCACGCTGCTGCGCTAGCAAAAATGCACTAAAACGCTGTCCAAGGCGAACGATCAATCGCAACGCTCGCTCGCCCGATTCCAAATCAACCGGCTTCTCTGCTTCAAGGGACCCGCCAGGTGAATCCTGCAATGGAGACCCAGGCGCAGACCAATAGGATTCCTCGCTCTGCGTGTCGTCTCCAATGTCAGGCAGCCTAGCTGCCAAGCCTAACAGCTCCGCAAAATCAGGCAGCTCGAGGAGATCACGATCCCATGGACGGACGAGTAAGAACGTCTGCCGTGTGGAAAATGTCCACGAAGATGGAATAAGTTTGTCCTCCGTGGTGATTGACAGGTCGTGAAGACCGTCTGCCTTGACCTGATACGTGCTGTGTGAATCTTGGTCTGAGTATGACTCCGTTTCACTGCCGTGACACGAAATGCTATGCAAGGCAGATGCAGTCTGCAGTTCGCGAAACGAGGAGCGTTCATCTGATCGAGAAGGGTATAAAGCTTTGAAGCTGATTCCATAGCCTCGGTGTTTCGCAGTAAAGAGACCGAAGTCTGAATCGCATCTTCAGACAGAGATGGCAGGGTGTACGGTGGTGCTTTGTATGAAGTAATGTCGGCTGGTAGACAGCTATTGAATTCAGATGATTCCCCACCCAGTCCAGGGCACTGATGTCGCCCGACTGAGCTATGACCTCCTGCAAGAGCCTCCCGAGCGCCTTTTGCTTCTTCTCGCCATAAATGACAGGTAGGTTGACGCCGAAGATACCAAACAATGAGTATGCAATATCTTCCGGCCACGTGGTAACACGCGCTGACACCCATTGGAGTTTCTCCCGGGCGTTTCTCATCCCCGGACGGAAGGCAACAAGGGTTCGTGCATCTATTCCCGTCACATCTCCCATCTCCTGCATGATTGTAAGAGAATCTTTGTGGTTGGGAGAGCGATCGTCGAGATACAACGACCAATCCTTCTGGTAAAAGAGTACAAACATTGAAGCCAGAATTCTTGAACTGTCCATCCTCGCGTATTCCAAGCGCTGCTGCGAGTGCCAGACTGCGACGAAGTGGAACATCCGACAGGTAGATGATGGTAGTGCTGAGTGGCGATACCAGAAACATGGAGTTGACCGATTGTTGGACCTCGACGTTGTTAGTCTGGTCGATGCAACAGGTATCAATCCATGCCCAACAATACCCTTTATCACGAGCAGTTCTACAGAATGACTGCAACTTTGCGATGCCACCGATTGGATCCAAGTCGTACACCACCTTGTTCTGGATGTCATGCAGTGATGGCTCCGTCACTTCCCACCTATGCGATAGCATGACATAACGGAAGTACGTCGACACCACATCTTGATGCGCTCCATTTGAAAGTCCGGATGTTTCGTGGTGGATGACAAAAGTTCTTTGTACACTGTGCTTGTTCTGAAGGCATTGATCTGTGCCTCGCGGTTGCATAAGCGCCCAGTGGAGGTGTTGATTAGACGGTGCGGGGTGTTGTCGAGCTGACCTTAATGCTGTCTTCAATAGCATGTTCTGCTTCGGATGGACTAATATACTGTTGGCGCAAGTCTGGACAGAGAGTCAACAATGTTTGAAAGATGTGTTATTTGAGGCGTACTTCTTGTTTCTGTATCGGGAGCACTTTCCAACTTGGAGAGCATGGTTGAGAGCGCCTCGATGGCTTCATCATATCTATGTGCGCCATGAAGCACCGCATGCTTCAACTGATATCCAAAGTAAGATGAAGGGTCGAGTTCAATGACCTGCGTATCACCAAAATTAGCGTTGAGTACGAAACAGTAATTGTCATCCCACCTTTTCCGCATCGAGGAGTGCATCGTTCCATAGCATTTTTCCCGACCTCGCTTTACTGCGGTTTGCAAAGGTGGTATGGGTTGCAAAGTCGAGATCGATCGCTGCGGAGTAAAGCTCGATAGCCTTGTCGTAATTACCCGCAGCGAGGGCTTCATCTCCGCCCACAGCGAGGTCAGTCACTCCATCAGCAGCATAGACAACATTGCAATCTTGCTTGAAATCTGAGTGAGATAAGGATGGGAGTCATACGAGGTTTACATCGAGAAGACTCGCCAGTGGACCAATCAAGGCAGCGTGCTTTTGTAGCCTCATCAGCCCTATCCATCATGTATCGGTATGCTTTGATGGCTTCTGGAAGTCTACCTGCCCGAAGGAGCGCATCGCACCAATTCTGATGTGCATTTCGCCACAAAGACCGCAGATCCCACCCAAATAACTAGAAAAAGCACAGTGAGGCGACAAAAAAGAAATTCCGGTTGCATTTCAATCAACCTACCACCACGAAGACATCGTATCTAGAGTGGATGGCCGACACAGACGAGAAATCAATAGTGTTGACAGCAGCAGTGAAGTGGCCAGCCGCCTCGTTGTGACGTGCGTCATGTGATGCATTCTTTCCCAGTTGGACGTGTAGATAAGCCTGGAGTGCGAGGTTCGCAAAATCAGCATCGATGCATGAATCTGGAGTTGATTGTGTCAGGAGCACTCACTTCCACGACACCACAGGCAAGAGAATTTGGATTAGGACGAGTGGTAGCTAGCTCTTGGACGCGCAGAATCGCCTCGTCATGTTGATTTGCATTGAAAAGGGCGATGGCCTAATGGTTGTTGTGTGAGTAGTGAGTACGTAAGACACAATTGACATACCTTAATCAAGAGTAGAAGACGAGTTTTATTCAAGTCTGCATCCACGTGCATGAACGCGATGTCAAATGCTTTCATCGCGTCCCGGAACTGTTTTTTTCCACAGTGGGCGATGCCCTTGGATATACAGCCCATCAAGGATGGCTTGATACTGATGCTCTGCATTGCCATATAAGTTAGTCTGTTTTGAAAAGGTCAGGACGAAATGGTGCATCTCACTTTGAGCGCGTCATCAAGTGCGTGGTCCCAGTCTGAATTTCTTGCCTTGACAAACGAACGATTCGCATGAGACTTGTAGTCATTGTCATCGGCGGCGATATCTTGTGTTAACAGTTTGTCAGCAGTGAGCAAGTCTCCGGCTATGCATGCATCGCGGGCCGTCGTGTTGATGGCGAGGATCTGCATCACGCACGATCAAATTGTGTGGTAAGAATGAAGGTTAGAAACACACCTCGCAATCAGGGTTTGAGCATTGGCATCGAGATTGAGGATCAATAAGCAAGGAGACGAGCAAAGAACAAGAACTCACATTATTTGCCGCATGTTCCTTCAAAGTGTCTTCCTGTAATGCATCCTCGGAGAAAATAAGATGAAGAAGGGATGAAAAATACACAGAATCTTACATCTGTTGCCTGGTCCTGAGAACATCCTCTAGCGAAGGTACTGCCCACTTGAGATAATATGATCTTTCCTCCACTCAGGATGTACTTGCCATCCATGGAGAAGGCGACGCAACACACCCTTCGGTGTGTTTGAATATGGCAATGGTTTGTTGATCCGAAAGCCGCCAAAGGTGAACCTGGTGGTCTCAGACGCGGACGCGAAAGAGTGCCGGCAGGGTTGAGGGCAATCATGATAGCCTCAGCATGGCCCTTGCAGGGCTCACCGACCTGCTTCCAGGTCGACGAATCCCAGATCCTTATGGTGGACAACATGAGTACCAGCCGAAAGAAGCTGTTTGCCATCGGGTGTCCACGCTAATGCCTGATTCCATGCTTCATACGCAAAGTGACCCTGGAACTTTGCGATGCAATCCTCTTGCTTGGATTCCATATTTGGATATTTGACGAGGTTGCGATGGCAAGATATTCACCAGATGGTGAATACCGAACACAGAGAACTTGAGCACCACAACTGATTGGACTTCCTTGCACCTGCCATGTTTTGTGCTCCAGAGCTCCACGTGGCGTCAATGAGCTACTCGCTAGCAATGTGCTGTCTGGGGAAAAGTTGACCGATAATATCAGTTTGGAGTGGACTTTGATGGGCTGGGTGAGAGATTCGCCGTCTCTGTTCCAGGCTATGACCTCTCCACTACGATCACCGCTTGCTATCCATTTCCCATCTCTTGATACTGCAAGTCCATACACTGCGTCGGAATGCCCCTCCATTATCTTCAATAAAACACCGTCTTCTAAGTCCCAAAGACGAAGAGTCTTGTCGTACGAGGACGTCACCATGGCGTCTATCGGGAGGACTGCGACTCTTAAGACACTATTTGATGACCTTGAAATGTTCGATTGGGGGTGACGATTCGAATGACGGGGTGTTCTGCTTCCGTCATTCTGCTCGAGGTGGATGGTGTTGAGCACAACTTGCTAGAGAGACTGCGGGCGTCCTGAATCTTAATCTCAGTTTGAGAGGTGCGTGTACCGGGCCTTTTTGTGCTTCGTGTATCATTAGACGCCTAGGACACGTGTATGATGTTCGGAATCTCCCCTTATCAGTGCACACCGGATCAGGTCACAGATATGTTTAGATTCTACTGGTGTAACAACAAAGTGGACCCAAGATGCACAAGAACGAAATTGCAAATTGAAAAGCTGTAAAGTCACTTACTCGTAAATGACAGTAGTGGACCTCATGTCGACACCGAGTGACAATAGTGCCAGAGTGTAAGGCGGCTATACGAGTTCGAAGGGAATTGTTCGAGTACGAAGTAGATAGGCAATAGTTGGGACGATGATGATGACAAGTACGCGACTGACGAATGAAACGATGATAGACTTGGGACGAGCTAGATGGAGCGGCTGTTCAGAGACGTTCTGAGGACACTTGGAGCGGGGAATCACTGCGTTAGATTCTGCTATCGAAAATGAGAGTACATGCGCCGTATATATACGTTTGAACGAGTTGACTAGTCCTGAAGGAGCGTGAAGAGCGTATGGTAGAGTGAAAGAAAGACTGGAAAGGAATGGCGAGAAAAAGGGTCCAGTTGGTAAGTGTACTGTAAAGCGATGAAAGAGAAAGGAAAAGATCAGGGATGTATCCTCGCTGCTCGGACGCGAAGCGTGAAGCTTCTTCGCGTCAGTGAGTCACGTGGAACGTCGGATGGATTCAAGCGTCTATCTAAAGTTGCGGTTGGCGCGTAAAGGATACTAGTCCACACCCGTTCTGCCTTCGGCACAGGAAGCAAAAAAGAGTGCTTCGCACTCTTTTTTTAGCTTCCTGGCCTCAGCCTCATCCCAATAATTCAGAAGGCTCCTGATGAGCATTGTTCCTTCGTCACAGGAAGCCAAGGAGGGCTGCGCCCTCCTTTGGCTTCCTGGCCTCAGGCTGCATCCTAATAAATTGTACATTTTGAATAATTTTGAAATACATTTATGAGCAGCTTTTCAAAAAAACTCAAAGTACAATCTATCACACCACATAAAAGTATATAGTACATAAGATCAGTCCATTCTATGTTTTTTGAGCAGGATTTTGACAAATGTAAAGATACAATCTACTACACAACATAAAATTACAAAATATGTAACAGTATCATTGAATGTATTTATTTTCCCATTTTTCCCTGCCCCCCATCTCCCATTGTGTCCCATGTCCTCCCATCCTCCCGTCTCCCGTCTCCCGTCTCCCGTCTCCCGTCTCCCGTCTCCCGTCTCCCGTCTCCCGTCTCCCGTCTCCCGTCTCCGTCTCCCGTCTCCCGTCTCCCGTCTCCCGTCTCCGTCTCCCATCTCCCGTCTCCCGTCTCCCGATCTCCCGTCTCCCGTTTTTCCATCCTACCATCTCCTGTTCTCCCATTTTTGAGTCTCTCCCATTCTCCCTGTTTCCTGTTCCCAATTTTCTGTCCTCCCATCTCCCATTCTCCAGTTTCTGAGTCTACATTCACTGCAGGCATTTCCTCATGTTCCTCCACCAAACATCCAAAAAACATTGAATTAGAAGATAGAAATTTCCTTGCATTTTGTGTATCAAAACATTGAAAAAAAATAATGAATGTATTAAAGATTTTCTGTATGCAAGACATAATATAAAAATGTGTCATTTTCCCTCGGGAAACAGTCAATATTTTTCACTCATCATTCTTCAAATAACAATTTACAATCATGTTAAATTTTTTGCCTCTGTTTTTCCAATGTTCTGTGCATCAAAAATCTCAATTACTTCATCCTGTTCACCATATGTTTGATCCAAGAACATTGAAAAATCATATAACAAATAATAAAATATATTTTGACAATGTTTTGTTCAGGAAAAGCAAAGAAACTTTCAAACATTCATTTGTATATTTGGTAAGAGGAAATTTATGAAACATGCCTCATGTTTTGTAAGAATAAATAAATGATGTTTGCAGTATATTCCTGCTGCACAACACTTGAAAAACATTTATTATGTTCAGAGAAAAAAAAAGAAACATGATTGCAGGATACTCTGCCTCAGAACATGCACAAATTATATATTTTTTTCTGCACACAATACATGGAAAATTATCCTTGAAGGAACATGATCAATTTTTGCATCATGTCCCGCACACAGAAAATCATTGAAACATGAAATTTTTTTTTTCAATGTTTTGACAAGTCCCACACAGAAAATCATTGAAACATGAATTATGTTTTTTCAATATTTTGACAGGTCCCACACAGAAAATCATTGAAACATGAATTATTATTTTTTTCAATGTTTTGACAGGTCCCACACAGAAAATCATTGAAACATGAATTATTATTTTTTTCAATGTTTCGACAGACAAAATGAAGGTACAAGATGTCAAGGAGCAAAAGCAGCTAGTTGTGCATAAGAAAGGCCAACTTAAAGGATTCATCAATTTTCTGTGTCCCATGGGCCATGACATGCAAGATCCAACAAACAGTGGGCATTTGTACAACTACTAGTAAAAAAACTCAACTTTTGACCTCTACATGTGCAGGGTAGCTACTTCTCTACATATTTGCACCACTATGTGGTATTCATTCAGATCACAAATGTTAAAAGTGCATTGTTCAATTATTAAAGAAAGTCACCATGAAAAGCCTGAACGGACGGCACCGCAAGCAGACAGCGGTTCATAATTCAGCTTTCATGTCAACATTTGACGAGCCTGATGTAGTACATGAAGTCTCCCACTCATTCGAGACCCATGGATGGGCGGAGGTGGACAGGAGAAAAAGGCAGGCTTCTTGCACTTACATGAAGGTGTGCGGGGATGGGAGAGAAAGTGCGGCGCCTTCAGACTTCAGGTGCGTGCACCATTATACTGGAGATGTATCCATCTTCCAAAGACAGGTCAATCGGCAGAATCAACACTGTCAGGATCAGAGCCAAGCCCACCGCTGCTGGCAACGGACGAACGCGGAAAAAAAGAACGAAACGCGAAGGAACAACGCAGGAAAACAACAAACGCGAAAAAAAACGCGGACAAACGAGTGAACGTAAGGACAAACGCGACAAAAAGACGCGGACAAACGAGTGAACGTAAGGATAAACGAGGGAACGCAAGGACAAACGAACGAACGCGAAAAAAAACGCGGACAAACGAGTCAACGCAAGGACAAACGAGGGAACGCACGGGCAAACGCGAAAAAAAATGCGGACAAACGAGGGAACGCGGGAACAAACGAGGGAACGGGTTGCTGATCACGATCCACATTATTGGAATAGTTGGGGCAGTAGGGCCAGGCAGCCTCTTGAGGTGGGAGGTAGATAGGGTCCCTGGTTTTCAAACGAGTCAACGCAAGGACAAACGAGGGAACGCACCGTCAAACGAGTGAACGCGGGGACAAACGAGTCGACGCGAGGACGAACGAACGAACGCGAGGATAAACGCGGACAAGATAACTCAGAGGACGTTACCAACATAGTGTTTGATAGCCAAATGCGAAAAAAAAATGGGGACAAACGAAGGACCGCAAGGACAAACGAACAAACGCGAAAAATAAACGCGGACAAACGAGTCAACGCAAGGACAAACGAACGAACACGATGATAAACGCGAAAAAAAATACGGACAAACGAGGGAACGCAAGGACAAACGAGTGAGCGCAAGGACAAACGAACAACTGCGAGGACAAACGAACGAACGCGAGGATAAACGCGAAAAAAACGCGGACAAACGAGTCAACGCAAGAACAAACGAACAAACGCGAGAAAAAAACGCAGACAAAGGAGGGAACGCAAGGATAAACGAACGAACGCGAAAAAAAACGCGGACAAACCAGGGAACGCAAGCACAAACGAACAAATGCGAGGACAAACGAACGAACGCGAGAAAAAAACGCGGGCAAACGAGGGAACGCACGAGCAAACGAGTGAACGCGAGAAAAAAACGCGGACAGAGGAGTCAACGCAAGGGCAAACGCGAAAAAAAAAATTGCGGGTAAACGAACGAACGCGAGAAAAAAACGCGGACAAACGAGGGAACGCAGGAGCAAACGAGTCAACGCGAGGACAAACGAACAAACGCAAGGACAAACGCGGAAAAATAATAACCAGGAGGCGCCCCGCCTCCTCGGCGCAGCGAGGAGGTGGGGCGCAAAAACGCGGACAAACAAGCGAACCAACGCAAGAACAAACGAGTCAACGCAAGGACGAACGAACCAATGCAAGAACAAACGAACAAACGCGAGGACAAACGGGTCAACGCAAGGACAAACGAGTCAACGCGAGAACAAACGAACGAACGCGAGGACAAACAGGTCAACGCAAGGGCCAACGAGTCAACGCAAGGACGAACGAACAAACGCAAGGACAAACGAGTCAACGCAAGGACGAATGAACAAACGCAAGGACAAACGAGTCAACGCAAGGACAAACGAGAGAACGCAAGAACAAACGAGTCAACGCGAGGGCAAACGAGAGAACGCACGAGCAAACGAGTCAACGCGAGAACAAACGAACGAACGCGAGGGCAAACGAGGAAGCGCAAGGGCAAACGAGTAAAAATAAGTTTCGGCTTCCTGACGATATGGTTTATAGGAGACCGGACCTGCGATGGGAGTTTGATTGACATCCAATAGAAAAATGATGCAAGGTAGCTCATACCAATAGTTCACTGTTGGTACGTCGACTGGTTTCTCACAGGCGAAGGAATACAGTTAAAAAAATCACCATCCAGATAGGACGATTAATACGAACGTGTAAAGGGCTGTAGAGGACAATGGTTAGAGGTTGAATGACGGCAGGACCCGAGTTGAACGTACATTGTAATACACGCTCTGTCCACCAACATGGAAAAGAACAGTTGAGAAATTGCTGTATGCTAGTTGGAGAGCATAGTCGATTCCCCACAGGGCGGCCCTGAAGCTGTCGCTTAACCTGGGAAAACCTCCGCAAGATGCTGTATTGGTTTCTGACACGATGAAGGGCTTTCCAACGGATTGCGCATAAGCGGGAGCACCAGGGAACAATGGTCTTTCCGGCTTGGTGTGTCAGGAAGGTCGGCAACATCTCTGGGCCAGTGCGTGGAGTTCCTATGCCGAACTGGGCATCACAATTATCGGTGGGATACCTTCACGATTATGAGCCAGAAGACGATGATGATGAATAATTTGTGATTCACCTTTCAACACCCAGCGCAGCAAGGTTTTGGTTGAAGTCTGTGGCGAACCCGGTTTCCCAGATATCCGTTGGGCTCCACATGCCAGCCAGATTGGGGCCAATGAGCAGATCTTTGTTGGGGATATTAGAGTCTGCGTTCATTGCGTCGATGAGAAGACCGAATTCATCCTTGTAATCCTGAGGGCTATGAGACTGCAAAAAGGTTAACAATCAATACGGAGTCAGGCCAAAAAAATACCTTACATCCGGCCGATGACCGTGCCTTGAGTAAAGATCAGGTTCATTGCCGCCCTAAAGCAAAAGCAATCAGAGACTGTCGTATTATACGTTAGATTCCCTGACCTGTAGACCAATCAGATAATTTCCGAGCATCGCCTCTCCGACTTCAGCGATCTGCAAGCGCCAATGCTGAGTGTCATTGAACGGCACACTGCGCAAGAAGGTCAGTGACAACAAGAGTATTATCATGTATCGCATACCCATGTACCAATAGACATTAGTGAGTGCAGATATCTCGGCCATCATTTTGATGATCTCAGTTGCGAAGACAAGGGGCAGCGTTGCCGTCTTGGGGGTGTTCAGTCTCAGGATAATCGAGTAAAGAAAAAAAGCACTTACAGGGTTGGCTATGCCTGCGTAGTCCTTCTCGAGAGCTGCACCGTCCGGGGTACTGGCCACTAGGGTAGCGGTCTCTTGAGTATTACCACCGACACGAACCCTAACGCTGCCCCCGCGTTGTCGCAGGTTGGCCATAAGGTTGAGAAACGGGACTTGGAGGAAAGAACTGGCAATCGAGGTAAATGCTATAGTACTTCTTGGCAACTGAATTAGTTACCTGTTCAGCCCGACTACAAGATATGTTCAGTGGATGCACATGCGAGTGAACAAAATACTTACGGACTTGTGTCGTAACACCAAACTCTATACTGAAGCCAAAGAATGAGCCTTGCTGTTGAATTGAAACTCCCGAGACATCTCCGCTCTGCAGGTCGGAGGTCCATGTTGAACTGGGTGGGTGGGGGAGGACTAGGTGGGGGCGGTGGTTATAATATCGTTCGGTCATATGAAGCTGAGCCCGTATATGAGGCAGAGGCAGCCGTCGTAGTCCCAAACGGTGATTGGACATGCGGACCACAGGCAGTGACAGCTGCCTGAGCAAGGCCGAAGGAAAAGAATAACGAATGGACGAGGAGAAGATGCATTTCAACGAAATGTCTAAAGTAATAATAAAAATTGCATCAGCTACTTGTAGATCATTTAGTAAGTGTGAAGGAGTATCAGTTCCTCTAGATGGCGATTCCACACGACACCGTCGGAAGGGAGTTGGACATACCAGACTTGCTCAGCGCTGAACTCATCCGGTACCAGCCTTTCCATTATTGTTGACCGGTAAATGCTCCAACATTTGTCTTCACCTGGTTCATCGAAATCGTATCGTGCCACAATCCCAGGGTTGGTAAACCCAGTCAGGAACACGACAAAGTGCGACTGTGCTCGGCGGCCATTGACTTCTGTAGCACCAACGAAATCTGGAGCAAGCTGTTTGCCCTCCATTGAGTAGAGATATAATTCATCGACGACCTGCAGTCCAGACGCGGAAAAACGAGTGAACGTGAGGGCGAACGAACGAACGCAAGGGTAAACGAGCGAACGCGGGGACAAACGCGACAAAAAGATGCGGACAAACGAGTGAACGTGAGGACGAACAAACAAACGCGAGGACAAACGCGAAAAAAAAAAGCGAACAAACGAACAAACGAACAAACGCGAGGACGAACAACGAACCCAAGGGCAAACGATGTGACCTTGTCGCAGGTGGGTTAGGCGCCCAATCGAAGGTGGTCGAGCCTGACTATCGTATTGTGTGTCAGACGTGTTCCGGTGTCATTTCCGCTTCGAACGAAGTCGACAGAGTATTCGTCAGAATTGGTTCAAGGAACAACTTGAAGGAGCATGGTAGGGACACGACATGCACGATTTGATCGACCACTTTCGTTCGCGGAGGTAGGCCTTTGAAGAGGGATCATCAATCATCGAGCATGGTGGACCTGCCGTATCAAATTTAAACCCAGCTGACACAACAAAGGTGCGTTGAAGAACTTCGGCCACCCTCTTGTTAGTGTTTGTGCAACACTTCCTCGTCTTCAGCGCCGAATGTCGAGTCCTCCATATTAGCGTCGTCGGTACGTGTGGGGAAGCTTGAGAAAACTAGAGGTCTACGCCAGATCCTGCCATGCCAGTGTTGGAATCCGAGTCGTAGCTGACTCGTCAACGCACTCTTGAAGGCTTCTAAACACTCATCGCACAAAGACGCCCTGTGAATAGTGGTAGCGTTTGTCTGATAAATGTGCTCACATGGGCAGAGTGCCACAGGATATTGTACTCTTAATTGAAAACAAAAATTGTAGGATGCCACGAGATCTAGTAGTGAGAAAAGACAAACCTAGGTGCACGAACTCGTACTGGGTATGCGCAAAGGTCAGAATTTATGTATGTTGGATCGAGTTAAGAAGGAGAAGTAATAACAGCAATTTGAGAGTCATCGCAACATAGTTATGTTTCGGAACAGTGTAGTATAGCACAGAGAATAACTCCTGAATTGATTACCTCGATCAACGCTTTCATTGGGATGGACTTCCCAGTAAGCATTGATTCAGCAGTCAGATCTAAGTGAGAGCATCCTCTTCGCCATTTTCCATACCTGCACCACTATCATTTGTAACATACATATCCTACTGGTAGTCAGCACCCAAATGATGTAGCAATAAACGTTTGCGGCCAACCTTGGTAATGGGAAGTACGTGGACTACACTGCCCAGGGTGCGATATTCAAAAACGGTACGTGCAAACAAAGTCACAAGCGCTTCAGATTTAATGATTTCGAGGGGGTGGTACCGATCGAAGAACAGCCCTCCGGCAACGCTGAAACCAAATTGTTGGTAGGGGTCCTCCTTTACCTGGGCAGAGTCCAGTTCCACCAGGCGTTCAATGAGAATTGACGGCGTCTCAGGGCACGATTTTTCACTGAAGATAGCCAAAATGCGAGCAGGTGCCTGATCAAAGTCGGCGTTTCGAATAATGACGTTGGAGTCCCGTGGTGACCTGGAGTACGGTTGGTACAACGCTCCCGCTTTCCATAGTTTACTACCAAACATGATGTCTGGTATATTTTAGATTGTGCACACTGCAGGTGAACGAGGCATACCTGAATGATGTACGCCGGTCAAATTGGTTACGGCTCCGGCGAGGCGGCTTTGCAGCTCCGCGAGTTTACCCCTTGGTTTGGAAGATGGGTAAGTGACCTTCAGCCAACCTGCGCTGCCAAATGAAAGAGTATCGTTGAGGCGGGTCCCCCGAATGTCTGAGCGAAACGTCTTCTGGAACTCCGGCCAAAGCGATGTCATAGCGTCGGGGAGTCTATTACTAGATAGAAGGGCGGGGAGGTTTGCCGCCCTGCAAGCATCGTTGATAAATGTCATTTCCATCTCACCTGAAAAATTGGGGACTTAAGGCCAGTGAATGAAAGGTCGAGTAGGCACTGCTCACCAAACTTTGAGTTAGTTTTGATCGTCTGAAGGGTGTAGTTGAACCTCTCAAATGCCCATGCTCGCCAAGAGTGGACCGGACCAAAAGCCTCGAGTAGCATTGGATAGTGGAAAGCCATATGATGCACAGGGCGGATCCTTGCTTCTTTGTAGAGCTTAAGTATGCCGCAAAAGTACTCCTTATAATGGAAAGAATATAGATCAATCTTATCCTTTGACATGCTCCTCATATTTGTGATATGAATGGCGGTGACGAGGTGCATGTAGTTGTGCAGCATCTCCTGCATTCGGCCTTCCTTGTGGCCCCACAGGCGAATCAGTGTGATGACTAGATGGATCAAACCGATTGAGCGCCAGTGATCAGCAGTAGGGGTCCTCTTCTCCGCCGCAACCAAAGGGGCAGCAGTAACAAATGATGGAAGCTGCGTCCGAGCTTGGTCTATCCATATTTCTTCCAGTACCTCCCGTCCAAGTACGACAGTATTCTTCGGTGGTGGCGCTTCGTGACTTTGCAGTCTCCTCCCGGGATGCAAGAGGTTGCCGTCCTCATTTGTCAGGCCTTGCAAAAGGCGCTTCACAGAGTGAGATGGTAAGATAGTGTCAATAGAAACAACCCATGCAACATACCCAATCAGCTAGCCGGTCCAATAGTCCGCCCTTGTGTAGGGGACATCCAGGGCGAAGGTGATTGTCAGTAGATATACCAAGTTCTGCGCAAAGTCGTAAAAGGGTTGGCACCCTGATCCCTGTCCCGATGGCTATAGTACTCTGAGCATTCTCTAACTTTGAGCGCGCTTTGATCATCTCTTGTTCGGATGGAGGGTCATTCTTTGTTCTTTTCTTCGGTAACTCCTGAAGCGCCGCCTCAGGTACCTGTACGCGTGCATAATGAGTAGGCGGAGTGCTGCTCAGCGAGTACAGCTAAAAACCTTTGATTCAGAGAGAGTTTTCAGAAGTTTCTGTATCTTGGCGAAATTTTCACTCGGCTGACGCTTGTGAAACAAGAGTAGAAATTGAACCTGTTGATCATGATAGCAGTACAATGCGTGACGTACAAATTGAATGAGCTCTCTTGCCATCAGCAGTGCAGTTTGCGCTCGCCGCAGGCCAAACTCGTGGCACAGGTGATAGAGAACTGGTTTCTGGCAGCGCAATAAAGCCTGTTCATGCGCTTTGTCCATATTTCCTTTGATGAGGACGCAAAGGCCTGATGCCAGCGCTGAATCAGAGGGCCGTGGCGGTCGAGGCAGCGGTGCATGATGTCCCTCACCAGACGCCATTGAGGGGTCAGCGCCCCAAACATCTCGGATGTGGTGATGTAGTTTGAGGAGGAAGTCTGCGTGCATGGAATCGAGAACAGTGAAAAGAACCGGGTTCCAATACGGTAGACGAAGTAGTTCCGAGTACCGTACGCCGTAACGGTCAACTATCGCCTTTTGTTCCTCCGCCGTTTGCGCATCACGCCACTTCTCTGCAACCGCCCTATGCTCTTTGCAAGATCTCATCGACCATTTGTTCGACGGGAGCTCTTCAATACGATCCTTCGTAAGGAGGCAGTATGAACAAAAGATGGTGTTCGTAGGTCCAGCAAAGCCGCCAACCTGCCGAGCACCTATGATGTCGCAGACCAAGGGAATGACTGCCGATCGACAAGGGCGGCCAGAGGGGTACAAAGAGGTGCGCGTGTAGAAGAAGCCTGGATCCCATGCTAACAAGAGATCATCAACGAGGGGCGCGAGTCCTTCGTTAATCTGGTCGAGAGAGGGCTTGTTTGGGCCAGGTAGCACGCCGACCAAGTACATGTTCTCAGGGTGGTAGCGGAGGTCGACGGGTAGGTTCAGGCATATCATGTATATCCCTGTGGACGAAGCGCTACCCTTCCCGATCTTCATACCTGATGGATTGAATCCATCGACGCCAAGAGAAAACACGAGGCGTAACTCTTTGGATGGTCCGCATACAAAAGGGCTGCCGTCTGGGCCTTGAAAGTTTTGTAGGACCTCTGCGTCCCAGATGTCATGCTGTTCGCCATCAGCTACCTTCATTGCCGCCGACCCCCGTTCTAGCTTGCTTTCGATGTCTGAGCGAGATAAGAATCGTGCGAGCCATTGCTTCATATCCTGATACAAGTACCTCTTCACAGGGCGTTCAAAAGCCGTTCCACGTATGATGCGGGTGCGCTTCAGCTTTGTAGAACATTGCGGAGCACCGGGGAGTGGGGAATGAATGCAATACTCAGGGCACGCGAAATCGTCATCGTTGTATAGCTTGAAGCAGGATGGGCATGTTATATAAGATTTGCATTTTGGATCAAGGTGGATGCGTTTCAGCAGTGTGCGAGAATCCCGGGGAAGGTCGGCCAAACGAGCTTCTTCTGATGATGATGATATGTTGGTTTCAACAACGAGCCACCGCATAATGAAGCGTAGTGTCGCGAGTGCGAAATTGCATTTCTCACGCGATAAGCCACAAAGCAGGGAAAGCGTCAAGATTAGGAAGTAGCAGGCCAATGTTGCAGGGTGGCTTTCATACTGACGAAAGTATATATCTGTTTGTTCATTAGAAAATTGCATTTGAAACAACATCTAATAGGTTTACCGGTGTTGATCATAACTGGAACATTTGAGCCACGCACTGCGTCCTCAGGCTGAATACTGACGCTGGGACAACGCTGGCGTTCCCACTCTCCGGCTTTGATGTCATCGATGCGTTGCAACTCGTCGGCAGCGCGTTGCAAAACCGCTGCGGCTGTTGACTCCAAGGAAATGGGTCGATCAAAGGATTGAACGGCTATGAGGCCTGGAACATTTTGCGCTCGTGACGTAGGATCGATGCATTTTCTTTTGCCTCAACCTGGAGTTTACACGGGCCAATATTGGGAGCGTCAGGATGCGCTGCCGGGACAAAATTGCCCTTGTGAGGTCTGTCGAAGATAAGGTTTGTATACGAAAGCGATGCTGCTGACTGGTTAATGAATTTGATAACGTGCTGTAGGTCTTGAACAGCTCGTGCGACGTTATCAGTGTCAGCCAATAATGAGGAGGGGCTAACGTCGGGGATTCGCCTGCCTGCTGCAGAGGCTTCATCAGGGATATCACGTAAAAAGCGCGGAACGTTGACAGCGTCAGGGTGGTCAATGCTGGTGGGGGCAGCAGAGGGGGGTGTCACCCCCGCACCGACAGACTGCTCGCGAACTACAGAGCTCTCACAAGGGTTCGCCTCATCCTCGATATCCATGCAAGCCCTATCGAATCGTTTATGACGGTAGAACGTTGCTGGTGGCAACCAAACGCCTCTCACTGGGTCTGAACGTTCATCAAAAGGCTGGGTGAGGACCATACCGCATCCAAGCCGCCGACACCGGCAGAGGAGTGTCTTTTTCGACTTCATCCAGTAGTGCCGAACGTGGATTTTCTGCTTTTCAAGGTGCTGATAAATATGCAAAGGTCGAGGTGAAGAGGAAGAGTGTGGTACCGGTGGCATTTGAAGACTCAATATAAAGACGTCTGATTCAAATCTTGCTTCCGAGTGGCTCAGTGGCCTAGCATTCAGCACAAAGAGGTGCATTTGAAGGGAGCCTTGCGCTTCATGCGTTTACACAAAGGGTTACGTTATGCGGGGTGCATCATGGGCGGGTCAAGCTTGAAAAGGATTAGTGATTAGTTTGCTTCCGAGTGGCTCGGCTGACCGAGCATTCAGCACGAAGGAAGAACTTGATTTACTGCCGGCCCATCAGAGCGGGTCACCACAGAGGAACTGCTCACAAACTGCTCAAAAAGTATAAGGATTGCGAGAGATGTGTGAGAGTGCAGATGATATTACTTACGGAGGCAGGAAGATCACTGCCGCTATCCTGTCTTTAGAACCACTTCTCCTCAAGAGCATAGGGAATTCAATACCAACGATACCATGGAAAGAGCAAGCCGGTATCGATCATCGATCAATCAATCACCACGCCTAAGTCAAATTGGAGCATGAAAGGGGTTCAAGTGGAGCACGCGCATCAATGCGAATTGCGAATTGGTTCCACGGGATCAAGATCCTGAAAGAGGTCTTCAGAGAAGAGAAGGGGCAGTTGCTGATAGGCTAATGTGATGTAACACCTGTGTGACAGCGGTGTTTCAAGGAACCAAAAAAAGATGCAATCCAAGACTGTATTTGTGCTTATTTGGCTGCATATCCGTTTTATCGATGGTTCAGGTTAACGCTGACCTCTTCAAGTTCTCGTTGACTTGGAAGTGCATCTCCACCACTTATGATTGAAGGGCATCAGGTAAGTCCTCATCGTGCTCTGAGTCAGTTTTTATGATTGTGACCTGCTTTTACAGGGTTTCACACAATGCCCCATGCCAGGATGTTTGTTCTACCCTTATCAGTGACTCTGACTTCAGTCGGAATCATGGTTTGCTAATGGTACATGGCCTTCCTACTTCTTCTTTTACATGCTGGTGGTCCACTGATAATGGTAATTGGAATACAGGTGATTAATTTGTGAGGCAGGTTTTGAATGACCTGCCTTCTGGCACAACTACTGTGGGGGGTTGTTCCATGCATGGTGCATGTGGGTAATATGGAATACGGATAATCAATTTGTAAGGCAGGTTTTGAATGACCTGCCTTCTGGCACCCTACTTTGAGGAGTTGTTTCATGCATGCTGCAGTGAGAGATGACACTCTCCACATGTATCAACAATCTTGAGTACATACTTCCATTCCTCTGCAAGTATTGGCTGACAAGTCGGATCAGCCTCCAATTCAAGATTTCATCATGTCGACTACTCGTTCCCACAATGGCAGACGCTTGTCCATGGCGCGGTGACTCGGAGGCGTCCATTTCGCAGCCAGTGTCGGCGGCCCGTAATCATCCCCTCACTGTTGCAGTGGCAGTATAATTTGGAGGCTCTAACTCAGGGCTAACCCCCTCCTCGCTGCCACAGTTGCAGACCCAACTTGGAGTTCCGGGATTATCCCCGACCTTCTCCTCCAAATCTGGTATTTTCCCCCTAGATCCCCCGATAAACACAAACCAAACCAACCGACCAAGCTCCATCAGAGGAAACTGGCCCCAGAGGCAAGGCTAAGGCGGTGCAAAACGTCAAACAGTGCATGAGGCAAATGTGAGGTATGCAAAACGCCGCAAACGTTGGACTTTCTATCTGGATGATTGAAGATTGATTATCCTAATCGCACGATGCCTTCTGTGGGTTTCAATATAGATAAATTTCATCGTCATACTCGTCTCCTATGTCAGCCACGTCCTTTGTTTCCTGTGTCAGCGATGTCCTTCATTAGTAACTAACCTCGTTTCTGTAGGCCGTCATTGATTCCCCTCAAATGGCATCCCTTTGTACCAACGGCTAGGACAAATGAGCTTCTGGTGCTGCACTTCAGTGACGGAATGCGAAGGTGAGGCCAAGCTCCAGGCGATGCATCCCAGTCTCTACCATATCTCATCCTCAGATGCAGGGCGTCGCACGCTCGCAGTATCTCTGTTACCCTGCACGAACGCCACTGTTTGATTCAGACCTGGTAGACAGGAATGCTATTCCCTAGTGGATGATCGGACTCGTCCGAGCTCATGCCGTCGACAGGTGAGTTCTTTGTCTTGATCGTCCGCTTTATATTATAACTTAACGTCGTTTACCTAGTATCCCTGCCTCTCACGATCATCTCTATACACCACGCACTTCCGCTGTGCCAACTAGTCGTCTTAACAACATGTCGCCGTAGTATGCCGAGGCAGTTTCGGTCTCGAGCGTGTTTAGCTGACCTTCTGACACCTTGACCTCGACTACTCCAACGCTCGATTCTGCGGATGCACCATGCACTTCCGCTCCGCCAACTGGTTGTCTTACTAACATGTCCCTTAGCATGCCGAGGCAGTTTCGGTCTTGAGAGCGTGTTTTGGCTGACCTTCCACGCCATGTTTGTCTTCTGGAGCTCGAGTGTCTGGTAAAAGTACATATTGTGCTATATATCCGCTTTGTGCAGTCGCTTAACTAGATCCTTCACCCATCTTCGTCCGTACGCGGTCTGAAACTTGTAAGTCTATTTGAATTTTTTTTACTTTGAAGATGGCTTACCTATGAGCGCTAACGCGCACCTCTCAATCCTAGGAGGTATTCGAGTTCCCTGATTTCCATCTCAAACATCCGACGCTCCCTCGCAATCCACAATACCATCATCGCACGTACTTCGTCCGGCCACAACGGAGGCAACGGGTTTGGGAGAAACGGCACTTCTGGACGGTAGACTTGTTGGCGTACGCGCATCCGCGCAGCGGCCCATGTAACATACAGTAACTCCTTAAATAATATCAGTATTGTATTTGCTAATATACGTATTCCTCACAATTTGCCTCTCGCTCATTGTGAAGAACACCTCTCGAGGGCGCGGCATATGCTGGAATAGATGTTGAGGAAGCTGATTGTTGTTCCCGTTTTCGTCTCCTCCGACGTTAGCGTTTCTGTCTCCTCCGACGTTGGCGTTTCCGTCGTTATTCATGCTACACGATGTAAGAGATAGTCGATAATAAATCTGAAGTCGTCGTGACTGATCGATGAGTCTGAGTGTAACGTCCCGATTTAGTAATATTGTTCATCCGGCATTTTCCGGATGAACTGTATGTTGGACGTGACCAATGCTAGTCGTGACACCATGATGTCATTCTATGTTGTCCTGCTGCGTCTTCTCATCTTTTTACTTGCTTGCCAGACGCTGATGGTGCTCTGGTTGCGTCCCGCTCTTAACTAGTGCGTGTTCTCGTCTTTTTACTTGTTTGCCCGATGCTGATGGTGCTCTGGCCGCATCCCGCTCTTAGCTAGTGCGTATTCTCGTGAATCTCGTCTTTTCACTTGTTGCCCATGTGGCGGTGCAAAACGCCAAACGCCAAACGCCAAACACCAAACACCAAACGCCAAACACCAAACACCAAACACCAAACGCCAAACGCCAAACGCCTAACGCCAAACACCAAAGCCAAACACCAAACACCGAACGCTAAGCGTCAGACGAATCATTACTTTCAAACACAAGTGATTCGTTTTCGGGTGCTAATTCTCGCTTTACCGAGACTGATTTTCACGTTAAGTTTCGATTTCATGATTTTGATTTCACTTATTTGCTTTCACGCGTTTTCGGTTTCGGTTTCAATTTCGCATGAAGGGCGCCAGCGGACAAAATTCCCAGCGATTTCAATTCAGAGTTTCGACATTTCGTTTCGCTTTCAAACACAAGTGATTCGTTTTCGGGTGCTAATTCTCGCTTTACCGAGACTGAGTACTGATGTCCGTTATAATGCATTGCCTTCGCCATGCTCTGACTCGGAGAAAGATATACTGCTACCAGATTAGTAGACTAAAACTCGGCGGCAGCGGAACAATATTAATATTAGTGTTGCTGTTTAAACTGTCTTTACTACCCAAAAGGTACAACAAGCTGTCGACAAAAGTGAATATCATAAAACCTTACGAGACCTAAGTTATATCTTGTGAGCATCAACTAAATCTTGCACCCCCTGGATTACGTATCCGTATGCCAGACGATCAAGATTCGCATGCTTGTCAACTCTGCATCAATCAGCATCGAGCCGCAGTACTCTTGTTCATCGACGTTTGTCAAAGATGCCAAACGTCGCCAAGAGATCAGATAGGTATCTCATTGGATTCGTCACTGTTTCTAACGAGAGTCGTGAGATCAGCCGTCGCGAATTCAGCCTTGCGTATTTCGAGGGAGAGGACGAACACAGTGCGAAGTGGATCCGAAAGCGCGTCATGACAAATGCCAGCATCCAAACGAAGAGAAGGGCTGATAATGGTATGCGCATGCGCCGCAGTGCACAAAGAAAGACGTCGAAGATGTAACTCGAGCAATCACCTGAGCGTCAACATCATACCGGCTCAAAGGATGAGATCTTGATTTACTGATGTCTGCCGGAACACGCCGAGGAACGATGATACGAAGGATCAAAGAACCGTGCAAGATATGAGGTTACCATCACATCACAATTTGGAAGATAATCGATGGCTGTTGGAAAAACCCACGTTGCGGGGCTGGCGAGGCTGTTCGTGCCCGATTTACATACGTTGATATAATTTGTGCATCTCTTTTGTGTGCTTCTAACATGGGAATGCTTTGTACATGTGCCCTCCGGATTAGACGGACCAGTCGCGGGCGTTATCACGAGCGATAGCCTTTTGTCCGCAAACACGAGGCTAAAATGTATAACGAATCAGAACAAAGGCTTGATGTGACTTCCTGACAGGTACACGCACTTAATGAATAAAGCAAGGGTGAAATGCTCCACGATGTCAGTCACAACAGGCCCAAAGTTCTTCACCGCTCAAAACTGGGGTGCCGGAATAGGGTAGAATGTGGCGTGGCATTGACGATGACCCTAGGCTAGGGTCCGTGTCGTTGTCCTGGGGTTCGAGAAGCCGTGACAAAGGGGCTGTTACTACATGTGTCGATCTTCACTTCTCAACATGTACAATCTGTGCCGAAAACCTTATAATTAACAGCGTGATCGGGCGATTGTATTGCTTCGTATTCCTCATACCTCATACAACATATGCGTGAATGAACCGTAAGGTTTTTCCATGGCCAAGAGCTTCATATATCTGGAATATGTAAAAATGTGTTAGGATGATCATGACACGGGAAGTTTCAAGAAAACTCGACGTGCCTCTGATACTTGGTACAGGTAGGTAACGGCCTGAGAAACCGAGTCAATGGGGATAGATAGTTCTTTGGCTAGTCGCACTGTAAACGCCGAGGAAACAAAAAAATCCACATGCTAAAATTTGTCCTCAGACATTTAGTCCCACTCCATGATCGCCGCGCCACGCCTCGGGCATCCCTAGAACAAACCATTATATCGCTGCAAGAAACCACAAGTATATTCAGAGAAATTTACGGTACATTTACCTGTCCATAATTATAATAATTACCAGAAGAGCCTGAGTGGGTAGCAGCGTCGTTTAGATGAGCTTGACCGGTCACCGCAAGGGGCCTCGAGGCGATTCGGAAGACGACATATATATACATCTGGCGAAGGGCCTTGCAAAGCTGCCAGACCATCATCAGTACCAGAGTAATAACACCGATCAGTGTGATATGATAGTAGCTTACGGATATGATAATGTCTTGCCAAGGAAGGAAGATTAGAATACGAAACCACTCAGACTGTTTTGCTTATTGCTTTGATGCTTTCAGAAGCGACTATGAAACGAACGGACAAAGACATCGCGGCAGAAAGAATTGTAGCAGTGCCATGAATTAGTCCCCGACTCTCACGTTAGTGAGAGAGGGTTTTGTCGGACGCAAATGGCTAATTCTCTGCAAACGCACCCGTGGGAACAAAAGTGGCTTAGTCAGTGGGAAAATACTTGGGCAATGGCTCAACACTGGCCTTTACATAGTCGTTCTCCCAAACGCTCCATCGTACGACCATTAGCTTTTTCGACTGCTTTCATCGCTGAACACGAACAGGAACGGATCGGACAGCATGTGAGTTCATATTTTCCGTTTTGTTTCGATGCAGTATGGCTCATGCATTTTCAGGGTTTTTCTTACGAAGTCGCCCTGCCGTTTGGCTCGCCTCCTCGAGGAGGGACAGTGTCCTCCCTGTGACGACCCCCGTTATGTGAAGCACTATCCTCATTATTATGATGCCCTCTATTATCCACAATATCATTTTGCCATTTTTGAAATGTCCGATTTCGCGCTTGGTTGAAAACCTGTCTTAAATCTCATCCTTTGTCTTGTTCAGCGTGCAGCTGTTCGGAATTTCACGGTTTTGTTTCGTACGACGGTGTTTGTATATCTATGAGCCAACATCGAGTATCGTTGTTGATGGCACCGAGTGAGTTTGCTGATCCTCCTGTGTGCGCTGTCTGTTCTCAAAGGCAGTCTGGATCCATGGAGGTTGTTATTTCAGCAGACCCTGGAGCACCGTGCCCGCGAATTATTTTGGATGCTCTTCGCATTACAGACGCCTTCATCATCCGAAAATGTATCGTGCAGCGCGTCTCTGCATCTTTCACGTTCAAAATTAAGAATCTCGATGGTGCGATGCTCGATAAGGCAGGGACACGCTTGTTCCAGTCATCGGATCCGTTGCAGCTAAAAGTTTTTCATGGAAACGTTTGCGCTCATGACATGAATGTGGTATCCACCGCGTCTAAGTATAGGCGTTCGATGTCGTCGTACTACAATTATTCGTGAATCATATGTTTTCTTGGTGTCTTCATGTGGAGTCGGGGACTGGCGCGGCCGAGCGCCGTTAGATCAAAGGAAGGACAAGGTAGCTCTATCGATTTGGGGTTGAGACCTGTTGAGACTAGTCAAAATCGTGTCAATTGTTCAACGGTCACGGTCGTGACAGTACGTGACTATTAACCTGAAGTCACCGTGGCGATTGCGCCTTTACACTGAGTGCGCAACAGAATAGTGGACGCCTCTGTTCACAAAGGGAAATATTAGTAGTCCACAAGTCCACATCATCCGGACATATAAATTCAACACCCAACATGCAATCTCTCATAAACTCGTCCCAATCCCAAATTCACAATGACCTTCACTACACCTGTCCCAATGACTCATCCCTGTTCCCACTACCGCCCGTTCCCCTTCCCTCTTAATCCTCATGCTCCCCAGTATGACAGAGAGCAACGTGAGCGCGCACTGGCTCTTCATATACAGCAACAGCTTGTGAATCAGCCTACCTCGAATGCTCTCCATGCACAAGAATACGATGAGTCTCCAGATCAGGACCGCATGATGCGAGACGTTCTGTACCGTATGCCAGACGATCAGGGTTTCGACGTCCAGTTCCCGTTCGACGGTGACAGCGCCCATAAGAAGGCTGAAATCCAACGGGCTGACCGTGCTATCCGCAATCAGGCCGTTTGTGCCGTTTGTGAACACGAGGCCAGTACCCAGGAGTGGAACGATCTGCTGCTTTCCAGGCTCACCTCGAGGAGCAACGACTCCTCGCTCGCCGCCGCCGTTTAGATGCTGAGAACTTCTTCGCAGGGACCATCAATCCTAGATGTTTTCACGGGTTCAATAACTCAGCTTCGTGTGACTTACTACAATCCAAGGTCTCTGGCCCGGACGAGCCCTCGCTCAAGGACATGATTTCTTCTTGAGGAACAGCGCCGTCTTATGGCAGAGCACCGGTCCGAAGTAACCCTCTCCGCCCGTCTCAAGAGCCCCCTCGCTGCCTTCCAGTTCCCTGCTGAGCTCGATTTCTTTCCAGCCCTCGGCACCGCTGATGTATTTGCATTGATTTACACCCCGGCCAATGCGCCTGTCCGCGCTCAGGAGCATGCGCTTTCGTTGCTCTTCGCAGACTTGGACAACATTCCAAGCTTTGGGTCAGACGTAGTGAGGAATGCAAGGCGCGCGGTGGTGACTCGTGTGGATGAAGCACTTAAAGAGCTTGATAAAGGTGTGAAGGAGCGAAAGGGCCATCCTGTTACAATGCCTATTGAGCAGCCTGCGAACGTTACCTCTGCGGATGCTGCGCTCAAGTCCCCGTTGTAGACGAAGTTCCCATTTAGGCCTGCAGTTCCAATTGCCGCCTGATATCATTCTTGTGCCTCGGTATTTTCTTTACATCTTGGCATTCATGTTCTATCCTTTGTACATACTACAAGCGCTCCGGTCGGTTGCGCATGCGAAGCAGGCAGTAGAGAGAGACAAGTCCGTCAATAACCTTTGAGATGCGCTATCATCCGAACTCACCTGCGACGATGGCACTGCTCTAATTCAAGTGTAAGATGGAGGTTGACGTTACAGCCAAAGTCAGAACTCACGTTGATACATCATACAACTCGTACGACGAGTCCTACCCTTGATGCTATTCAGTATGACTCGATTCCTGCTGATTTTGCGCTTTCTCGATGCTAGATTATCGTACGACGTCAGAAAGCGCACACGCACACAGTCCTAGAAGGCAAGAATCGTTACAAGGGTAGGCCAATCCTCATCCTGCGCGGGAATCTGAGAGTCTCTCGAAAGAAAATAACAACGAAAAAAGTAAATGCATACAACACGAGGGTCAATGCCTCATTAATGTAAGGAGTCAAGGACGAAGCTAGATCTGAACTCAATATTGGTTGGAAAGTGACACCACACGGGCTCGCAAGACCAAGAGGCGGGAAGGATACAACCAGGCGCTCGAGGCCGTAGGATGCTGCTTCGAGATGGCAGAGATTGTCAAGATTGAACGGAGGCCAACGGAAGTTGAACGGAAGCGAAAGGTGCAAGGGAAGGTGAAAGTGAATTTTAAGCGAATCACAACTCACGGCTTCGCCATTGCTCTGCCAACCTTCAAGGAAATGCTCGTCTCTTCGCAGAGAACAGGCGAACAAAAGATTTCGGGCGGAAGTTCCAGTTACAAGTCTATATATCGCAAATTGATTAGTACTACAATGCCACAAAGCCCTATGCCAGCCATCTCCGAGTCCTCTCATCTGTATTAATCTTGTCCTCCACACGTTGAATCTGAGCCCTTAGATCCTGCAGCTGAGTCATAGTTGTCTCCGCAACCTCCTTCGCAGCTATCCCAAGTGTGACACCTTGCTCGGCGTATTTTGTGTTCGCAGTGGAAAGTGTAAGCAGCATATTAAAACTATCTGTCATGTTGACACGCATGCATTCAATGGCTTCCATTATATCAGCGACTTTGTATGTAGTCAGTCGGTAGGCTCAAAAATCAAATCAGGACTTACTAGTCATGTTAGGCCTAATGGCCTGCGGTCGGTTATTGATGGGGATGACAGGCTCATCATCGTCCGACATAACAGTGCCGCTCCAGTTAGAAGTGGCGCGTGCCGCGCGTCTGCTCCAGGTGTCGGAATTGCCGGAATTCAAGTTGGATTCAGCAGTAGTGTACATGTTTAAGTTGGTGCCTAAATAGGCGGAGCCGCCCAAAGATGACCGTGGAGTAGCAAAAGCCATGGTTGATAAATCGGAAGATTCTTAGTGTATATACTCAATAATACTGGCAAGTTGGACATCGCAGGACGTACCTGAGGGAGTGGCCATTGTGTTGTATCGATCTGAGCAGATTGTTGGTGGTATGTACTTGCGCAATTATATAGCTATCTTATGTCAATTATCAATCTGTCGAACAAAAGTTACTACTAGTACATGTCTGGACTTGATTGGCTGATGCAGCAGCCTCGTGTATTTGTTGATAAGTTGGTTTGTTATGCTGGCGGCCATCTTCGTCGATTCGAGGAAACACTGATCAGATTCGCGATGCTGCCCTGCTTTGTTATTCCCAACGAGCCCTATCTTCTTTGACGTGCACTTGCTAGACCGTTCTAAGACTACACCATACCTCGGATTTATATTGGATTATAAGCTAGGTCTGCTTTGCCTCGGATCATCCTTGCTTTCTCCCTCGGGTCTGATCAATTCTCATTTCCGTAGTGATTTCAGAATTCCTGCTTTGTATCGGTACTACGTAGGACCCCGGTCGTTCTTTAGTGATGGGCGGCGGCGCCAAATTTGACCGGTCGACCCACGATACCTCCAATCAGAGCCAAATTTTCGCGTATCTTCCCCCACCCTCATCTGAACACCGAGCCATAATGCAGCGCTATAGCAGTCAGAGGACTTACCGAGGCCTTAGACCCGTCCGTTTTTCCTTTTTGTAGAGCGGAACCTAACTGAGGGGGTTCTAGGAACGCATTTTGGACCTGCCTAAAGTCGAAATCACGTTGGGCCGGGATTATCCCCGACCTTCTCCTCCAAATCTGGTATTTTCCCCCTAGATCCCCCGATAAACACAAACCAAACCAACCGACCAAGCTCCATCAGAGGAAACTGGCCCAGAGGCAAGGCTAAGGCGGTGCAAAACGTCAAACAGTGCATGAGGCAAATGTGAGGTATGCAAAACGCCACAAACGCCGCAAACGTTGGACTTTCTATCTGGATGATTGAAGATTGATTATCCTAATCGCACGATGCCTTCTGGGGTTTCAATATAGATAAATTTCATCGTCATACTCGTCTCCTATGTCAGCCACGTCCTTTGTTTCCTGTGTCAGCGATGTCCTTCATTAGTAACTAACCTCATTTCTACTAAGGTAGGCCGTCATTGATTCCCCTCAAATGGTATCCCTTTGTACCAACGGCTAGGACAAGTGAGCCACTCAGGTGAGTTCTTTGTCTTGATCGTCCGCTTTATATTATAACTTGACGTCGTTTACCTAGTATCCATGTCTCTCACCATCATCTTTGTCTGCCATGATCATCCTTACGTCTATGTGGCTCATGATGTGGCTCCTGGTACTAGGTAGTCTGGTTCCCAAATCTCTGATAAGCCCTCTGTTGATGACCTTTTTTAGGGCCAACCATCATTCGAGTTTTTTGCATCGCCTCGCGTACCTCTATGTGCTTCATGATGTGGCTCCTGTTACTAGGTAATCTGGTTCCCAAATCTCTGATAAGCCCTCCGTTGATGACCTTTTTTTAGGGCAAACCATCATTCGAGTTTTTTGCATCGCCTCGCGTACCTCTATGTGCTTCATGATGTGGCTCCTGTTACTAGGTATTCTGGTTCCCAAATCTCTGATAAGCCCTCCGTTGATGACTTTTTTTTTAGGGCAAACCATCATTCGAGTTTTTTGCACCGCCTCGCGTACCTCTATGTGCTTCATGATGGGGATTCTGTTAGGTAGTCTATTTCCAAATTTTCTGACGAGCCCTACACTGACAAGCTTTTTTAGGCTCCACTGTCGTCCAGTTTTTTCATATCGCCTCGCATACCCGCCTTCAGCGGAGACAAACAGACCTGGTCGCATACCAAGATCTTACCGAGGTCGAAGCTCGCATCAATCAACTCACCGGCGCGGTCCAAGAGCTGAAAGAGACGCGGAACAGCCTCACCCCTCTATTCAAGCTGCCAGTGGAGCTCGTCGTTGTTGTTTTGTCCTTGCTTGTTGTAGGGGATGAGCCAGATGCCTACAGTCTTGTATCTTGCAGCCAAGTGTGCCGTCGGATGCGGCAAATATGCCTGGAGTATCCATCCCTCTGGAGGGATGCTATGAACATGTCGGCCTGTCCCAAATTCATGGAAATGATATTGCAACGCTCGGCGCCTCTTCCTTTCAGTATCGCTATTGATTTTGCGCAGTGGAACGCTGAGGATCTGCAAATGCCGAACTGCGCTACCAATCTGAGCCTCGTAGTTTCCGCTCTTCATCGGCTCAATGATTTTCATATTCATGCGTCACCATCGATTGTCTCCGCAGTGTTATCTCGATTTCCTCACCGTGCTCCCGCATTGGAAACTTTGTACTTGGGAGTATCGCGCATGATGGGCGACTCAGATCACGTCCTGCAAGTACCTGACACCCTTATGATGCTAGATGCGCCATTGCTGCGGAAGCTCTGTTTGTATGGATGCATCTTTTCATGGGACAAGTTCGCTTTCACGAACCTGGTCGAATTACGCGTTGTTGGCTTTCCCGACGAAGTCAAACCATCCCTTACGGCCGTCCTGTCGGTCTTATCGAACCTCCCCCTCCTTCAAACGCTAGTTATGCGCGAGGTCTTGTTGAAACTCGACAACATTCCTGAGCAACATGCCGAGCCAGTGCAGTTACCGTGCCTCCAATCCTTGTGCATTCACTGCCCCGCCATGGATTGTGCAATCTTTCTCGATGCTGTTGCAACGAAGGAGCTCAAAGTTTTGGATCTCGTTTGCCAGGATACCACGCAATATCCAACGGCGGCAGAAATGACAAAATTTTATTCGTCCCTTCGGGTGAAGACAAGGGCTATGGACGTGCGCTCCGTGTCCATGCACTGTGACTTTAATAATATCCGTCTGATCGGCTCGACTTTCACGGACGCCAATTGTGAGGACGTGCAAGCCCTCATCATGGTCGAATTCCACTTCACTCGGATTCAATCTACGGACAACGTAGTACGCAGACTCATTGCCTTTACCAAAGGTATCGCTTCGTCTCAAGTACAATGTGTGCGGTTACATATGGATGCGATATATGAGGCCGATACTGATGATGTATCCTGGCACACCGTATTGTCCCCATTTTCCTCGGTTACTCACCTTCACCTTAGCCAGCCGGTGCGGTTCAAGATCCTGTCATGCTTGCTCACCGATGTCCGTCGGGCTGTCAGGCTGGCCGTCATCGACCCAACACAGTCATTCATCCTCTTACCACTTCTCGCCCTACTAGACACTTCGTCTGAACTTGAAGGAGTGGAAACAGAATTGATACAGCAGCTCTTATATGAGATCAGCGTACAGAGGGGCATATACACGATGGTGTCTAGAGAATCACGTGATCTCACTTTCGATTAGCATTTCCGGGGCAGGCCGGGCGAGCAAGGATTTTCATTCTCTGTGCTATATTACACTGTTCCGAAACACAACTATGTTGCGATGACTCTTAAATTGCTGTTATTACTTCTCCTTCGTAACTCGATCCAGCTTACATAAATTCCGACCTTTGCGCATACCCAGTACGAGTTCGTGCACCTAGGCTTGTCTTTTCTCACTACTAGATCTCATGGCATCCTACAATTTTTGTTTTCAATTAAGAGTACAATATTCCGTGGCACTCTGCCCATGTGAGCACATTTATCAGACAAACGCTACCACTATTCACAGGGCGTCTTTGTGCGATGAGTGTTTAGAAGCCTTCAAGAGTGCGTTGACGAGTCAGCTACGACGCGTCGGATTCGGACCATTCTGACTCACGTCCAGTATAGACAAGAGTCCTTGCGATAGAGATAATGAGAGGGTACGTAAGCTTGACGCTCCAAAGTTTGCACTAATGTTTCTTTTCAGGGTATGCAGCATCGCTGGGCTTGTCCGAAACATATGGGATCGCTATGATGTGTAGCAGCCGGGCTCCAAGGTCTTCAGCTCTCTGATAGTTGCACTGATAGTTGCTCTCATTTGCGGTGGGAAGCTGCTTGCAGATGACATTGCTGCTGCTTTTCATCACAGACATCTTCCGCCGTTCACAGAAAGCGGGTACGCTAATTCTCCTTCGAACTCGTACTATGCTAATCAAAGCCATCGCCTACTGTTCACAGAGCGTAAGCACGCTGGTCCTCCTTCGAGCTCGAGCCATGCCGATTGAAATAATTTCCTACTACTCATAGTGGCGATCCTCCTTCGAGCTCGACCCATGATCGAAGTCGTGGCCCAGGATGCTGCAGCCGGAAATGTTGCTAAGCGTTTCGCCTTTGTTTCGCCCGACCAGTTGCTACTCAGGCGCCTCGTTGCCCTATACGCGTTATGACGTCAGTCCCTAATATTCCTAACCCAAGTTCCGCAAGGGCAAACTGACGCGGTGAAAACGCCAAACGTGCTGCATGAGGCAAACGCAAGGCACGTAAAACGCCACGCGGGAAGAACAGGTTCGGATCAAAATGTGGCGTTGTAGCGGTGTTGACCACGCTCTGGTTCACGAATCCAAGAAAATCGCTAGCTCATTCACTCCGCTACTATCGAATGGAATAGTTCGCTAATATTTCGTCAGGTGTGTTGATATTTTGATCAAATATATATATATGCTAATGTAATTTGTATGCAAGACGATGGCAGGTGAAACCAGTGTAGTCACTCAGAGACTCCGGAATCCGGAATCATGCATGGGAAGTTTTGTTTGACCGTTTAACTCGGTATGGTGTGGCGCTCCACCTTTTCTTTCCATCACTAATCGCTTATCTTTAATCCCTTTCAAGCTTGAACTGCCCTTGCGCCCCGCATAACGCAACCCTTTGTGTAAACGGCAAACGCCTTACATGAAGCGCAAGGCTCCCTTCAAGCGCACACCTTTGTGCTAATGCTATGCCAGCTAAGCCACTCGGAAGCAAAAATCTGTGAGTCTTCAAACGCCGCCGCTCCACCGTCACTGATCACTAATGTTTAATCCCTTTCAAGCTTGACCCGCCCTCGCACCCCGCACAACGTAATCCTTTGTGTAAACGCCGAACGCCGAACACCTTACATGAAGCGCAAGGCTCTCTTCAAATGCACACCTTTGTGCTGATGCCTATGGTGTGTGTCTCTTTCTTTACCATTGTACATGTAATCACGTGCATAATGCCGACAAAGCAACATGCACATATATGCCACTCCATAGCATTGCTAGTGCTCCTTGCTTTCCTCCCCACCATTTGGATACTCCTCCATCCATCTTGGAATACGCAATGGGAAAGAATACCTTTGCAAAGACACAATGGTTCCCCTCCATGTTCTCGTTCAACCGCCCAGGTAAGCATCCAGTAGAACCGGAGAGATGTTTTTAATTGTTTCATAGCGAACCGCATGGCTCGAATCCAAGAGGCTCGTACGTCACGGCTCCCGAACCACCCTGCTGAGGGAACTGCGGATGAAATATTCCCTGATGCAGGTGGCTCTGCTGCTGACCGACAGATCCCAGAGGATGGAGACAACATTTACAACATGGGCCCCGACACGTACATAGCGTCCCACCAGACGCTAAATGATGAAGACCGTGGCGGGTGCATGGATGAGGGCGGTGGGCCCGAAGATGGAGGCAACGTCAGTGATACTGACGCACTGGAGATGGGTCAGGATGATTGCGTTGGCCTGACTGACACACATCAACAGAAACAAATCAATGAATCTGGAGGACTAGTTCTGGTGTCCCGTCAGACCCCCGATGGTCAAGATTGCGCCGGGCACAAGGATGAGAGTAGCGACCCAGACGATGGGGAGGAATGGAATGGATTCGCTGGTGATGAAAAGCACACTGAGATGGATGAGGGCAGTGAAGATGTGGAGATGGACGTTGCGGGTAGCGAGTGTGGCAAAGGCCTTGAAAAGTCGGTAGAGGAAGGGGGCATGGAAGACCTGGTATGTTGCGCTTTGTTTCTTTACAGCTACTGACTATACTCGATGTAGGGGATGGCAGGAATGGAGGAGTTGGCTGAGAGAGGATTTTTGAATAACATGGTTAATTCCACGGTCGTTTCGTTTTACAGCTACTGATGGTTTCCATTATAGGAAGCGGGAGGTTCTACTAAACAAAAGCACTCCAAGCCAACCAAACGCTTTCTACGGCCGTTGAGAGAAAACATTGCAAAGGCAGCCGCAGCAGCTCGGCAGGTGAAGTCATTTCATGTGCACTCGACAGCCTATCATCTGACATATTTTACGTTGATCAAGATGAGGGCGCCTTCCACGGGTACTCCGTCGGCGCCTTCCACGGATACTCCGTCGGCGCCTTCTTCAACCGTGCAACATACGGACCGTCCCAATGGTGATCTTGCCAAGCTTATCTCGGATGCAGTTGGAGAAGCCATGAGAGAAGTATTAGCACGTCTACCTAGAGCGCACACTGCACACAAACCTCGGGCTCGAGACCATGCCCATGATGATGGAATGGAGGCTGACATAGAGGACGATGATGATGATTATCAACCCAAACCGAAGAAGATTAAGGGAAGGCCGAAACGTCGCCCAGGAGCCAAAAATGAATTTCTTGTATGTAGTCTCATCCTCGAAGTTACCTCTCCGAATTGACCTCACTCAAGCGGATGATTCGAGAGCACGGTCTCTTGCTCACGCGCCGCGACACGCCGGACTCTGACTTTTACGATGTGCCGACGCCTGAAGAAGTAGCTGCATATGACCCTACCCAAGGCCCTTGTTGCACAGCGGAACGCTTCCGTATGGACATTCGAGGCTTTCCCAAGAGTGCTTGGAATATCTCTGCAGCTAAAATTTTCGCCTGCAGCTTCCAAGAGGCTCATGCGCAATTCAGAGATAAGGCACAGCGTGAAGTGGAAAGAGCATGGACGACGCACTTGGCCTACCTCAAAAATGTGTACCAGAAGCAGACTTCGAGGGCTCGAGATATCGAAGCTGGCAAACAACGTCGTCGTCGCAAAGAACGTCGAACGCAGGTATATTAATCATTTCATCTCACGTCCCTTGTACTGATCGGACAATGTAAGATGTATTATCGTCGCATGGGTGTTGCTGAAGGCTCCCGTCACCTGCGTAATGATGGACTTGCCATCATCAAAGAGTTGGGGATCGACGGCATGAGCTCGGACGAGTCCGATCATCCACCAGGGAATGGCATTCCTGTCTACCAGGTCCGAATCAAGAAATGGCGTTCGTGCAAGGTAACAGAGATACTGCGAGCGTGCGACGCCCTGCATCTGAGGATGAGATATGGTGGAGACTGGGATGCATCGCCTGGAGCTTGGCCTCACCTTCGCATTCCGTCACTGAAGTACAGCACCAGGGCTGCAGCGTCACAACTTCCTTCCAATTTTTACAGCCTGAATTGGTTCAAATCACTCAATGAGTTTCAGAGAGATGCGCTGCAACCTCGGATCGAGGAATACAGCCTCGAAGTTCCTGAACAGATTGTCAGGTAAGTCTTACTGTGATTCTTGGTGAAGTTCTCCTATTAATAGTTTGATCAGAGAGGTAAAGAAATACGACCTCTCTCTATATGCCATCGTCAGCGGGAAGGCGCGAGCTACCTCAGCTGACGATGAGTGTGACACATTTGGCGTGTAGTTAGAGGGAGACATACGCTGGTCAGTCAAGTAGTTATACTATTTGTGAAGCTCGATAGTGGGAACCATTTTGATATTTTTTCTCTGTCCGAAATACTCAGTCCTCGAAGATATCAATCATGTTTATTTTTGGGGGGCTGAACAGCAATTAAGCATTCACGCGTCAGTTGAACATTGATGCGGCAAGTCTATGAGCGCAAAAGAATGCTACATTTGGATTTGGTACTGGTAAGATTCACGCTTCGATGCAGTTGGATTGTATTCGTACAACTTTGATAGCGCTCGATGCAGTCCTGGTTATCTTGAACCCTCGTGTCGTGACATCCATCTTCACCTTCTCGTACATCCAACGCACCCTCTCATACCTTCAATTCACCCTCTTGTATTGTACTATTATTAGATGGTGGGAGCCTCCGAGCCTCGGTGGGTCTCAGAGCCTGTGGGTTTGTCAGACCCGTGGGAACGCAGGAAAGTGCTGCCAAGGGTGTTGGATCAACGTTTGGCGGCAAGAGCGATCAATTCATATAGTCTGCGCCGGAAAATGTATGATTTTGTGCTGGTTTTTCCCAATCTCTGCTGACGATGCTGTGTAGCTGGAGATATCCTCATTTGGGATCGAGAATCTGGATTATCTTCATCACATCCAGCCTAAGGACCCTGACCAGGATTTGACTTGCATGTCATGCAATAGCCTCGCAGGTGACCCTTTTCCATTTGCCGTAGGCGCGCACGATGACAGTATTCGTATATGGTCAACATTCTTATGTCTCACTCCTCTGACTCCACCCATGATCCACAAGATATAATACCCCGCGAATCGCAATACAGCTACTCTCCTAGAGCCTATTTGTCAGAGACACCTTCGCGGAAGATACGCCACGAAGTCTTGGAGCTGATGGTGCTTCACCACTGTTTGGCCCAATTCCCAAATCATTTCTGGGTAGCACTGGCAAGACGCCGCAATTTTCCTCTCATCCCCGCACACCTTTACATACGGGCCAGATACCTGTCCTTTCTCCTGTCCACCTCCGCCCATCATGACATGGGTCTCGCCACATCAGGCTCGTCTAATGTTAACACGAAGGCTGAATTATGAACCGCTATCTGCTTGCGGTGCCGTGCGTTCATTCTTTTCATGTCGATCTTCTTTAATAATGGAACAATGCACTTTTAACATTCGCGATTTGAATAAATATCACATAGCGGCACAAATATATAGAGAAGTGGCTACCCTGCACATTGAGTTTTAAGCAGTTGTACAAGTTGTGCAAATGGATCTGTATCATGATATTATCGATATCAGACAGCCTGCCAGATGTGCGACACACGCTGCCCAGCAAGGTTTTGAATCCCGCTGTGTACCGCTTTTCTCTTGTCATTCGTTCAATTATGTAACTAGCACTCATCTAGTCACAAAGGGAACTCTATGGGCTGTAGACGACAACAATATAAACGACAAACGATCCTTAATAAACGCCATCATATTTACAACTCTTTGTATGTCCTCCATATATAAGTTGCCAGGCTCACTGTCACTCTTGTCACTCGCTAACCCTGAACTCCTTAATAGACCTCCTCTGATGAAGGAACCTCGCACACCTGCTACTCTTCGAGTGCCTTCTCGAAGACAACATCCTCGTCTACTCCTTGAGCGCGATGTGAGTATGATTGATGTCAGTGCGTTACATTTGATTGAACATTACCTGCATCAGGATATACACATCATGCGGCAGACTTTCTCAGCAGAACACCAGCTCTTCAAGGCACGACGACAAGCGCCGGCAGTGGCCAGGTCAGGCGCGCAGAGTCTTACATGCCGCAGTAAGCTTGTTTTAATTGTTTCAAAATTTAGGTACTCCAGTTATGCAAGTTTGAATCTATTGGATTTTGTCAGCAAGAAAATACAGAGAGCGCCTACTATGTACGGATGCCGCCATAATCTGTCTTGAAGTCTCTGACCCGCATGATTATCAGAGGACCCAAACGGCGTCCTGTACCAGCAACACTCGATGTAACACCAACCCTGGACATAACACCAATCCTGGACATTTCAGGACCGGTATCACAGTCTGAGAGCCTGCCGTCGGTTGACACGATGCATCCGATTGATAAGGTTCCCCCACAAACCCCCCCCGACTCGGACGCTCCGGCACTTGATTCTCTATCAGTCAGTCGTCCGCAAGTCAATTCTCAACAAGTTAAGTCGCCATCTCCTGCGCCATCTCCCTCAGACGAACGCGGCGTGTTGGCAGAGAACGAACCCATCATCCAACGCAAGACGAAGAGCATCAGGTCTCGCTCGGACCGCGTCACCTGGTACCATACATGCTCTCGCAGCACGATGTCAGCACCCTCCACCTCGCCCCTTTTGTATAGTCATGAACTGTGCCGTGGCGACTTGCGCCTCCACAAGTCGCAAAAAGATGGACAGATTCAAACTTGGGTATGGGACGGGATGCAGTGGATAGGGATCGAACATGGGGATCCACATCTTAATTTACCTGGATACCGACTGAAATTGGTAGGCGAAGAACCGAGCTGGGTAACCAGAAAAACTGCGGTCGATGACATGGGTAGAGCAAAACGGGCGGCCAGTACAGCTCAGTCATAAATTTCGTAATTCAGTAGCTGCAAAACCCACCTCCACAAGGGAGCACATTCTTTACTATTTTCATTCTTGAAGTGATATACTATACTATGTTTTATCCAATGTATCTAACATATATAAGCACGAATAGCGGCCGGCTCGGTGTCAATTGCACCCTGTCATGCTGTGCTGCTCATGATCATTTTGCGTGCCCTCCCTCCTTTTGACCTCCAAGTTGCTCTTCCATTTTGTTTCACGACATTATCAGCCATACATCGATACCATCTACACCTTCCAGCATGCCATACAACACTGACTTGCTCCTTTTTGTTCTTTCGTTCCAGTGCTAAATGGCGACCACCTGTACTTTTTATGAATTGGTCGCTATCCAAAATGGATCTAGGTATCATGACAATACGATAATAAAAACTACAGCTATATCGTTCTAACGACCACGAATCTCATGATTGGCTCCGCAGTGACCGATGATGGCACTCCTACTCACACTTCACCTCTATATGCAAACGATATTCACTGTCCTCCTGTTGCCCGCCGTTGTCTCACCTTCCCCATGCTATTTTCACAGGAACCAATAAAACCTCTCAGTGACAGCAATCGTGTGTTGCCTATTCTCATCGTGGCTGTGAAACTGACATTAACGAAGCTCTCCGCACATGCTGCCTAATGGGCTCGCGCTTGCCTCGAACGTGCTTTCTTCTTTCCACAAAACCTATTTTGCGACGAATTCAACGATAAAATTATAAACACTAGCTGGCGACTCGGACTACCGCGAGTACGCTCTACGTGGTCGATTTGTCAAAATCCAACTGCTCAAGAACCACTGTATTCCACGAATCATGTTTTATTCTCATCCTTACTGCTCCTGTTGGACAGTGAAACGCAAACAGAGGTCACCGCTTGTATAAGTATGTGTTGGATGCTCATGTTTATTGCTACGTCATTCGGTCACTGACTTTCGGTAAGCTGATATTTGGCATTTTTCTAAGCCACGTTACCACGTGCCTTCATCCTATTGGGGCATAATCCTCACCTATGTTAACCCAGAGACTCCGGAATCCGGAATCATGCATGGGAAGTTTTGTTTGACCGTTTAACTCGGTATGGTGTGGCGCTCCACCTTTTCTTTCCATCACTAATCGCTTATCTTTAATCCCTTTCAAGCTTGAACTGCCCTTGCGCCCCGCATAACGCAACCCTTTGTGTAAACGGCAAACGCCTTACATGAAGCGCAAGGCTCCCTTCAAGCGCACACCTTTGTGCTGAATGCTATGCCAGCTAAGCCACTCGGAAGCAAAAATCTGTGAGTCTTCAAGCTTCAAACGCCACCGCTCCACCTTTTCTTTCCATCACTAATGTTTAATCCCTTTCAAGCTTGACCCGCCCTCGCACTCCGCACAACGTAACCCTTTGTGTAAACGCCAAACGCCGAACGCCTTACATGAAGCGCAAGGCTTCCTTCACATGCACCCGGTTGTAGACTTCAAGAATCACTCGCCTTACATCATTAAATTCTTTCAGTCCATTCTTGCTCTTTCTTGTATTGTTCCGAAAATGTATTTTGTTTGCGTCAAATGAACAACAAATGGTAGGAGTCGTATGCCAGTTGGGTCGACATCTCCCAAGATGATATTAAAGACTCGAGGAAGATCGCGCTACACAACAGCAAAGGGCAGATTAACCGAAAGACGACCCCGCTTTTGGAGGTGAAACGACATAGGAATGGCGCATGCAGCTTTACGTGAACACAATGAGAAATCCACTATCGTCGATTCGTTCGAGGTGCCCCCAGGTGCTCTCCAGGTGTGCATGGTTGCGGAATTCAGACAGGGCTCATTTGTTCCGAGTTGTCCGAGGGACAAAGAAGTTGCACATTGTAAGGCGAAGACCAAAGGTAAGGTTGTGAATTGTTTTCATTGGCTGATCGGAAAATCATTTATCGCACGAGTACCGCTGTTCCTGGATCATCGGATGGAGTCTCATCGGACCACACTAACGCTGGACAAACGACAGCCCTTTTAAATCTGGAGTCTTTCACTAGAATTTCCCGGTTACCGTTATCATGGCAGGCAGCAGTGTCGCTTTTAGCTGTGCACATGTGTACCAAGCAACGACCGCTTTATGGCTCTACAGTACAAAGACGTTACCCCTCTCAGAAGGTCACAAAGAAACCGCCACCGTGACTATATATAGTTATGTTGTGATTCCTCAAGCTTCAAGCTTCAAGCCCGTCAATGACTGCATACATCCA